GAAAATCCAGCCTTGGCTTCCACTATTGCACCGACCCGGCTTCTATTCCAGGTACATGACGGACGAAAACAGCCAATTTGCTGTCACTTCCCTGTACTCTCCAGAAGACACTCTAATTCTCTATTCTATGTTTGCTTTGGCCGCGCATCACTCGTCAAATCCTTACTTCCAGGAGGTGAGGACCGCAGAGAGAGGTAAAGAACTCATCAAGATGGCGAAACAAAGCTACAAACAACTCCGAGAAACCGCAGATGGCGCTTCTTTGCCATATTTACAAGGGTGCTCTTTGCTCGCCGCATACATGTACACATCAGGCCCTTCCCATCAAGCATGGGTTCTCACTGGGATATGTGTTCGTCTTGCGTATGATCTCGACCTATGCGACATGGATGACGAACCATTAGAGTACAAGTATGCCGATGAATGGGCCAGACTAGAGGAAAAGAGACGCGCCTTTTGGGTTGTTTGGGAGTTGGACACCTTTGGATCCACGCTGTCAAATCGACCATGCGCGATAAGCCGGTCGAATATGGCTGTTCAACTTCCAGTCAGCGATGAAGCTTGGTTTGCGAATCAGCCAGTCCAGTCATCAAAGCTAGATCCATTGCCAGCGAAGGCATGGAAGTCCCTCACGGACTGCGACAACCAGAGTGAAAGGGGATGGTTTATTATCGCAAATTACCTGATGGCTCGAGTATTCGATCCCCATATGCGCAGGGCAAGTTCGCGAGATAGCGAACATGAGGAACTCTCGGGTTCGATCACATGCTTTTATCTTTCTATGACAGCGCGGTTTGGGATCGAAATCAGCCCACTCTTCTTTGACAAAAGTAGCTTTGCCCGGTGTAACTGGATTATCGGGGCTCATATTTTAGTGAATGCCGCCCGGGCTGGTCTAGCTGATCATCACGAGAGTCACGGCATCAAGATGCGGGCTTACTCACGAGAAAGAGACAGAATCCTTCATCATTGGCATCCGGAGTATATCGCACTGAGTCATCCATTCCTGACTTGCGCTTTACTTACCACATGGACGCCTCATGAGCCTTTGTCTGGAACGGAAATGCAGCTGAGTGAAGACTTGGCAAAGCTCGTCTTTGAACGCTACGCGTCTCTATGGGGTCTGGGATCTATGATGATAGGTAAGATTGATGAATACACAACGGCGAGTATCGCCTGAAGCAGTAAAATAATTACTAACATGACTTTGACCTTCACAACATTATCCAACGACCTGCAGCGCTTTCAAATGACGAAAAGCGGCTTACAAAGCGATTTGCGGTTTTCTTTCCAGCTGAAAACAAAACGAGGGGGTTACAGTCCAAGAAGATAATAGGCCGGTCACTGCCTTCGGAAAATGAGAAAACTGTACCTCCCTCTGAACGGCAGCAAGGTTCGGCTGGCGAGAATGCCGAGATGGAACATCTACTTGACCTTACTTCCTCTGCTCAGCCAACGGATAACATTCCCTTGATAGTGAGCGACCTCCAAGGTCAGAGTAATGAAGAAGATTGTTGGACCTCGTTTGAGTGTCAGGATGTATGGGGAACGCCATCAGGACTAGGCAAGGATAACCGTGGATTTAATTACCTTGAAATCTAGCTTAACGGGCAACCTTAATCTCACCATATTTCGTTGTCTTTCCACGCCTCCATCCTCGGCCATGCGCCGAACACGGTGTTCGTTGGTATTTCCGCGCAGATCACATTCCCCGGCTTCTCGGAAACCCAAGTCAATTTGTCATGAATGGTTGGTTGTTAGCCACACGCTCACTTTCTCTTGAGTGGATAGACAATTGGGAAGTGTTTTAAGATTGTGGTATCACGGGTTAGGCCTGGTATAAGAGTCATCTCCAGCAGTGGTGGTGCATTTGGGCCTGGCCTCATCTACGCTGCCTTCTTCTTCCCGTACTCCTCATCCGAAACCTCTTCGTGCCAAGTAGTCTTGCCCAGTCCAAGTACAAGGTGCGTCATGAGACTACCATCGTCTGCACCGTGCCAGTGCGTCGTTCCTGCAGGAGCCCAAATCACATCACCAGCCCCAATGCGCTGTGGCGCGGCTCCTCTATCACAAATCCAACCCGACCCAGCGAGAACTCTAAGCATCTGTCCCTCCTCGTGTGTATGCCAGTAGGTTCTGGCGCAAGGTGTAAACGTAACGTTGGCGATGGTGGCTTTCTCCTCGTTGTGGACCAAGTCGAGATAGACGTCACCGGTGAACGTAGCGGTGGGTTTAGCAATAGATTTTTTGCTTTCGGAAGCCCGGAAGACGATCGAGGAAGGCATCGTGGCGAGGTGCAAGCAACAGAGTTTCAGCTGCAATCTTCAAGTCCACAAGTTGAGTTAGGAATGTTGATAATGAAAGGTCGCGTCTAGACATTGGAAATCATTGGCTGTCATAATTTATAGAATGGCCCCCGCGGGCACGCAACGTCGGCGGGGCTCCGCGTCATTGGTTTCCATCCACAGCAAACTGTCAGCAGACTGCATGAGTGCGGGGCTTCCATGTGAGCACCAGGCGATTAGAAAGTGCGCACAGATTCGTCCGGCGATAGCAAACCAAATGTTCGGAGGCCATGTCAGCAGCTGCGGACGTGTTCGGACTTGTCATCTGGAGTGCGTACACCAACCGATGTCCCCCGAGCCGCGATCCAAGCCTAGTCCTCTACCTGACAACGAGCCTGCGTGGAGTTCGCTTTCCGGATAAGTAACTAGACTTGATCTTATGAATACCCCGTAGAACAGATTGCGCGTCTGATGCGTTGATTTGCAAATATTATTCGGTCCACTCCGAGCTTTGTATTGCTGTCGAAAGTGACGAGACTGAGTTCGTCCGACCTGACGTTGAGGCACGGCCTAGAGACATAACAGGCAACCCCGTCTTTCCGAAGTGCCGCGATGCCGACCCCTCCTCCTGTGACAATATAGCGTCGCGGTCGCCGTCACGGCTTTTGTCACTACCGGGTAAAACATTGACGTAGGATCGGCATAATATCGCGGCTCTAAGGTTGGTACCCCAAGAACTCAGCGATGAGAAGAGGCGTAGAATATATTTGGCCTGTTGCAAATGATTGTGAAAAAGCCTTTGTATCAATATTCATTCTTGGTATAGAGACCAAAAGATACTTAAAACATTTGACCCAATACTTTGACAATGAAGGTTGTGATAGTTGGCGCAGGGATTGGTGGCTTGGTTTGTGCCATCGCCTGCCGTCGCGAAGGGATCGATGTCACGGTTTTAGAACGGGCACCGAAGATTTTACATGTCAGATTCATCATATTGCCATCTGGAAAGAGTGCTTGTTAGCTAATTTCACGGCATCTAGGTCGGGGCTGGCGTCCAAATCCCCCCCAACGCAGCTCGCATTGCACGACAACTGAATTATCTACCTCAATTGATCGCCAAAGGGATTGTTTTGGATTCGATCAATTACGTTAGATACTCGAATGGAGAAGTTCTGTACAAGATGAGCGCGGGTGAGCAAATGGTCCGGAAGTTTGGAGACGCATGGTTGTAAGTGAACCTGCTTCTCTTATCCAACGACAGCACAAGTTTGCTTCTGCAGCACTGACAGTGAGACACGTCTAGAACTATTCATCGTGCGGACTACCATAAGATCCTGTGGGATGCGGCGGAGAAAGCGGGCGCTGACTTGCGACTGGGAGCACAAGTCGAACGCCTGTTCGCGGACTCTGTGGACTATGTGGGGGTGTTTCTTGTTGGAGGAGAGTGCATCACTGCAGACGTGATCGTCGGCGCTGATGGTAAGATGAACCCCCTAAAACCTCATTGCAGCTGTCTTTACGGCCGAGAACACTGCCTCCTTCGTGCCGCTGACGTTGAGACAAGGCCTGTGGTCAGTCACCAGAGACTTCGTACTTGGGTGGCATTCCCCTCCGGTAGAAAGTGGGGACATGGCACATCGAGCGACGTTCAAGCGAGGGGACCTTTTGGGCCTTCAAGATTCCCAGGTTGAGAAACTAATGAATGAAGGTGCTGTGACATGCTGGATGGGTCCAAATCGACATGCGGTTTTCTATCCCACCGATGGCGGCGATAGCTACAACTTGGTTCTTCTGAGTGCGAATGACATGCCTCAGGGTGTTCATGAAGAAATTGGAAACACTGATGATATGAAGCTCCGGTTCGAAGGTTGGGATACTCGGTATGCTGCTTGATTTCTACTGGCATCTTGTTCGTGCCACTTTTCTAACACACTTCTAGACTGACTACAATGATCTCTTCCATCTCCCATGTATTGAAATGGAAGCTGTTCCACCATAAGGAACTGTCTGAGTGGACGAAGGTAGGCGAATCCCGACTTTGTTACTTGATAGGAAGCTAGAACTCTTACATTTATTCACAGGGTGCAGTTGCGCTGCTTGGAGACGCATGCCATCCTACTCTACCTTATCAAGCTCAAGGTGCCGCTATGGCTTCTGAAGATGGCGCTGTCCTAGGGAAGCTTCTCGGGCTTCTGCACAAGTCAAAGCTTCCTGACAAGCAGTACATACCGGATGTTCTCAAGTTGTACGAATCGCTTCGTAAATCTCGAACCACCACCAACGTTCAGGGAGCCGTGTCGAATCGCTCCACATATCATCTACCCGACGGGCCGCAACAGCAATGGCGGGACGCGTGTTTGGCAGCTGCTAATCTGTACTCCGTTCAGACAGAGTTCAAGATAGCAGACGAGGGGTATAAAATCGATATGCTGGGAAGTGATTCCGTGCGGGAATGTGCAATTGCTTTCGAGAACTGGGTTGAGAAACACCGGAGGGATTTTAGGGCATCAATATAAGGTAGGTATGTATTCACAATGGCATGTGGTGTCGGCCCCAAACGTCTCGTTCGATCAATTCCGAGCTTCATCGCGCAGCTAGCAATGCCAACTGCCGCGTGAGGTACTATCAACAAGTGATCATTAAGGTTCTTACATGTAATTATTATCATGACCATCATACAATACTCGTACAGCCCATTTTATACAATTAAGGGCTTTACCGCGGCACGGAATATCCGGAGAAGTCGTACAGTCCATTATGGTCCTGAAGTGCGCTCCATTCTAGGAACTGAGTCTGTTCAGCCGCATCCGTAGTTGGGACAAACATGCCCATATCTCCAGGGGGCGGTGTTGGCGCGACATTGCTGCTCCGGTAGCCCCACAGCTGTGCGGCCATCTCTGGCGTGATACCACCAGTTATCGGCATGAAGGAGGCCATCTGTTCCAGGTTCTGCTGCTCCAGCGGCAACTGCTGCTGCTGTGTCGGCGACGACTGCTGCTGAGGGAAGGAGTTTCCTCCAAGATCGCAAGACAGATCCGAAGCCGGGAGCTGCTCCATCAGGGGCTGCAGGGTGCGCGACGGAACGGAACCCCTGAACTCCGACGAAGTCGATGACACTCTCCTCACTGTCCTTACGCTATCCGAATGGCCCAGCATGCCCTGGCCGTCGAATCCTCCTCCAGGGAAGACCGCGACCGAGCCACTGTCCTCAGACCCGTCGTCAACGTCGACACCAGAGTCAGGGCGGGGCGCGCGAGCCATCTGGCGGGGAACCAAGAGACGCGATGGCGACGGCTCATTTTTGCGGTTACTCCTGTTGGAGTAAGGCATGTTCTGGGCGTTCGCAATGCAATGCTCGATGACCTGGATGAAATGGTTCCGGTAGATGTTGCCGATCGTCTCTAGCGTGGGCTCGTTCAGTCCCTTGTTGCGAAGGCTACCCTCAACAATCTTGAGGCTGTTCATGAACTGGGTCTGTAACTCGAAGTGCTCAATGACAGGGCAGAAGTCTGACGAAGGTTAGTCAACTGAACGTCGTCGAGACAGGTGTTCCTTCTTACCAAAGGGTTTGACACGGTAGTCATCGTCGTCGGGGAACAGGAGATTCCAGATCTCCTTCCATTGAACTTCGGGAGTCATGCCACTAGCCCGTTTCCTGCTGAGGAGCTTCGTCATCGTAGGGCCATCAATACCAGACTCTGGGTCGTGGTCAGCGACGTCGCACATCTGCTCTTTAGGCAGACGCTGGTGGTCTCTGAGATCCTTCTTGCTTGCAAAGTCTCGGTTGCAACGATCGCACATGAAGGCGGAAGGATCATTGCGCTTGTGCTGCTTCACAATGTGTTGCCTGATGATGGTCAGGTTCGGGTGCAACGTGGTGCAGGAGGGTAAGATGGAATTACCTCAACTCGGCGAACTTGGGAAAGTAAGTCATCGCACAAGAATGGTGTTCTCTGACGTTAAACCGATGAGGATTCCTCTTGCGGAACGGGCAGCTAAGCCGCAAGTTCTCGTCGGCCTCCCGTGGCGAGGGTCTCGCCCTCTTGAAAGGGACACCCGAGTCGCCATCATCATCGGTGAGGTCATCTCCGTCTTCGTCACCATCAATGCGACCTATGTCACCCTTCTTGCGTTTACCATTCTGGGATCCTCGACCGGACCCGGATCTCCTTGCCAAAGGTACCGACCCGTTGGAAGACGTTGATGTTGTGTGGGTCAACTGCGTTACCGGCAAGCCGCTGAAGGCGACTCTGCCAATGTCCTGAATGAACCGGAAGACGAATTGGCGGAGGAAGGGCGGTGGCATGTTGACTTCGTCCAGCTCGACCCCGTACGTTACCTGCAGGACATAGTTGAGGACGGCGTCGGCTTCCTCGTTAGAGAAGTCTATTGGTGTGGGGGTGACGGGTTCCCAGGCACGCGACAAGCGTTCGGAGCCGGAGTCAAAGCTCAAGCGCCCGTTCAACGGCCGTTCCGGAACAGGCTCCGCACGGGGTGAATCGGGCGCCTCATCGGTGCTTGGCGGCCTTATACTGGCATGAGCACAAGCCTAGCGCGTTGGGAATAGACGTACCTTGGAGTGCCGGCGGAGTGAGGCAGCTCATTTGATGAGTCGTTGCTGTCGTCTTCTGGTTCCTCGATGTCCATACGCGGCGGCATCATCTCCTCCTTGAGTCCCAGGCCGATGGATTCTGGGTACGAGTCCGGATACGCCGGAAACCTTTCTTCATTGATTGAATTCACAAAAGTCGAGCCGGAATCGCACGACTCCCGGACACGGTGCCCACTGGACCCGGATCTCGTCGCGAGGAACGGGGTGGGCAAGCGCTCGGGCCCGTCAAGATCCGGGGTAGTCGCTCGCGTAAACGTCGATGATGTGGGCGACATGGGCATGGAGCATGTTGTTGCAGAGTCCGGCACATGGGTCGAACTCATCGTGGACGACGTGGGCGATCGATCGCGACTCCCCTTGTGGAACGCGCTCGAGATGATCTTCAAGCCCTCCGGACATCTTGTTGAGTGGTGCTGGGGTTGAGATAGGCGAAAGTGGTGTTCAAATGGCGAGTGAATAGCCTCTTCGATCTTGGCCTGCGTGGCGATGGTGGCATCGCGGTGACGCGGCTCTCGTGGCCGAATGGGAATCTCAACAGAGAATGGGCGTTCTGTGCTCATCGTGACTGTTGTTTCGCGCGTCGTCAAATTACCAGTCGTGGAGGGTGCCGGGATGGGGTGTTTGAGAGCCAGGTGTCACTTGTCCAGTCGGCAGCGCTGGGTTGACCTTGTCTGTCGTGCCTCGTCGCGAGGAGCCCGATATCAGAATCCCGTCCGTTACTCGTCGCAATTATCGCAATGAAAGCAGAATGACCGATCGGGAAAGAAGAAGAAGACAAAGATGATTCGAACCGTTGCGCAACTTCGAAGAAAGGGTCTGCCCCTCGCTCATTACCGCTGCCTCATGGCTCAGCCCCCAAACTATGCGGAGGGAAATGCGAACCATCTCAGCATAACAAGGGGGGCGGAGCGGACAGCTGTGATTGGATCATGACGACGACCGTCGTTGGCGCAAGAAACAAGTCTTCGTCATTGGACAATCCGGCCACGGTGGACAGGATGCCTCCCCTATTTCTGGCGCGTCGCCTGCAGCAGGCGGGCATCACCCCTCCAGCGCACGTCGAAACTTGATTTGCTTGTGGTGGGTGCTTCTCAGGATATGTGACAGCGTTGTTAGGCAGAAACATGTTTCTGGCAGCCTGTCCTGTTAGAGCGCGACTCGTAATCAGCGCTGTTTGGCGCGGATTGATGAGCCATGTGGAGGTTTCTTCTTAACCGAGCAAACAGACATCAGACGATTGGCCTCAGGGGCAATGGAGGCACTCGACCCAACTAGGCACGCCGAGTCCGTGGTCAAGCTGCCAAAACCCGTCCATCAGCCCTACGACGATGACATGTGTGTAAGATTGCGATTCCATTAATGCACGCCATCGCTCCGTGGAGTCGGAAGGGACTCGTCTGGACCTGAAGCGTCACAGCTTCAGTCGAACTGGAAAAAGCCAGGGCCTCATGGCTGCCCCGTCGCAGGCCGGTCGCCGGCCACTCGGCGTCGCCCTCTTATTGGATAATGGCAACGGTCAGTCAATTGATATGCAGAGGACATCCTCTGCTCAACTGAGTAACTGAATGATGCTATCGAGATGCCATAATGGCCTTTTCGTCTCTCGCCGACATCTCAATCAGGACATGTTTGAGGTGCTAATTGAGATCGAGTGGAAACGCTGACCAAAGGAAGGATGGATATAAGGAGGAGACCGACGAGTTGGGAGATGGGCAAGGCACCTACCTACGACGTGAAGTGAACCAGCTGAAGTACAGAAACATCGCATCAAATCAATTGCCGGTCATCTTGAGAAATCGCGGATTCAATTGCGATGAAGGGCAAGTTGCATACGCTCTAGTAAAGATTATTTCCGAAGAGACAGGCCTTTAGTCTACAGAGTGTTGACACTGTAGTCCCCCAAAAACACCACACAACTCGGATATGTCACACTCCAAAGCCACGTCTGGCCAGACCGCGGCAGGGCACTCAAGTCTGTTAGTCGTCGCAACTCCGCCCAACTCCACGCGCTCTGAAAACGCACTGACACCGTCAACCAACAGGCCTACCCAAACCAGCGTGTACAGCGTCGATCGCTACGTGAGCGAGTCATCCTCATGGACAACATTTGAGCAACGATGCGACACTTCCAAGGCGGCCAACAACGATCCAATGCATTCAGAACTCGACAGCCTATTGAGACAAGCTCAGGACCAGCCAGGTTCAAGTAGCAGGTGAAATCTATACACACGCAGGTGGCGGGGGAATTGATTAGCACAACCTGTACGAGTACGAAGTCAAGGCGCACTGCGGCAACAGTTTCGGGTTTTTAATTACACTGAGATGGCGATCTGGGGATGCCAAGCCACGAGTAATGGTTTCGGAGAGTTCACAAAGAAGCGATATTGGATGAATGGGTCGATCTGCACAAATCCACACCTCAGTCGACGACACGGCTGGGAGATCTGTTGGGCAAAGGTACGGAAAATTTTGCACGGGCTCGGAGGACATGAAAAGACGATGGATGCTGTCTTTGACGCGTCAGATGGCTGGCCATCTCACACCGATATATAAGTAGGGCTACTATGTGTAGCATGTATATGTACGTGGAAGCATATGTGCTGTTGACCTGAGATCGAATATATACCATGAAGACTCAAACGGGCACTGCCCTGGCCCCGGCCTCGGCGCATCGAGGCACAACTTTCCCCCTATCGAAAGACTCCACCAATATGACACCATTTACTGGAAGAGCTCAACGCAATCAAAGATCTGCAACATCAGTTAGCAACGGCTTCGGCTTGCTTCAAAGTTAAGGATGTACTTACGACATTGGGGCTCAGGTAGGTGTCGCCACTGCTGCCAGAAGCAACGGTGATGGTGACAGTGTTGGAGCCAGAAACGAGAGTGCCAGCAGGGATAGTGAAGTCGTAGATCTCTCCGTAGCCGCGGTAGGCACCGCGGGTAACACCACGAGAGTCGATCTTGGTGGGTGCAGCAGGGGTAGCGCCGCTCCAGCTGTTAACCTTGGCAACGGGACGTCCACTGGCGAAGGACAGAGTGGTGGCAATGCGGAGAGTAGCGGCACCGCTGGGGGCAGAAGAGAGGGTGAACTTGATGGTGACGGGGTTGTTGACGGCAGTGAAGACGGCCATGGGGAAGTCGGTGAGGGCTGAAGAGCCGACAGTGTAGGTCAGAGGACCCCAGCTGCTCATGCGGCTGTCAGAGGGGTGCATACGGAGCTGGTTGGCAGCGTTGCGGAAGCCGGTGGGCTGGCCGTCGTACTCGCCAATCTTCCAGAGGCTGGTGTGAGAGGCCAGGCCACTGGCGATGTTGGCGGTAGTGGCCTTGCCGGCGGTCACAGTAACGGAAGAGGTCGCAACCTTGAACTCGGTCTGGTAGAGGACCATGGTGTAGGTACCGGGCTTCATGGCGGGAGAAGTGAAAGCTCCGCTGGAGGAAGCGTAGGCCCAGTACTGAGCATTGGCGTTGTACCAGTGAACAACACGCTGGAAGCTGGAGGAGATGCCCGAGGCAGTACCAGTGACAGTACCACGGCCCGAGGCAGCGACGTAGCCCTTGAGGCTGAGGTCGGCGTAGAAGTCGTAGTTGAAGTCGGTGGCCTTGGGAATACCGGAGCGGGAGAAGCTCATGACGTAAGGACCGTGGAGACCCATGCGGAAGGCCTCGGTCTGGACGTGACCACTGTTCATGTAGTTGTACAGGTTCGTGGAGTCGCCGGCGTTGTTGGTGTTGATGTCACGGAAGAAGGGGCCACCGGAGGACAATTCGAAACCGGTGGAAGGGTTGACGGAGATGCAGACGTGGATCTCCTCGGGGGAGGTGCCGTAGACGCAGCGGACCTTGTCGTCGATGAAGCGCTCGGAGGAGTAGAACTTGGAACGGGTCTGGCCGCTGACAACGAAGACATCGGAGCCCTCGACGGTGGATGAAGAACCGGCGGTGGTGGATACAACACCGAAGGGGTATTCGCTGGGAAGAATGTCCTTGTTGAGACGGGCAATGAAGCGGAGCTCGCCAATATCAGGCTCAGCGGTGATGTAAGTGGCCATGTAGATGTTGGCCTCGCCCTCCTTGACGATGAGGTAGTGGGTCAAAGTAGAGGTGGTGCAAGTAATCTTGATGACATTGCCTGTGCTCGCCTTGATGGTGGTAGACTCGACGGTGGCGGTACCCAGGCCAGAGCTGATGTGGCTGCCCTTGCTGCCGTACTGGAGCTCATTGCCACGATACTTGATGGAGTTGATGTCGCAGCTGGACTTGGAGACGGAGAAGACGAGAGAGTTGGATGAGCCGGCATCGACAACGAGGTTGCTGCCAGAAGTGGTGACGCCAAAGGCCGCCAAAGCAGTAGAGGTGAAGGAAAGGACGGTGAGGAAAAGAATGTGAAGAATGTTGTTGGACGCCATCTTGGCTGTAGGGGGTGCCTTTACAAGGCGATGAAGAGACAGAAGTCGGAATAAGGTCGAACAGCAACGCAGTCAAAGAGAGAGCAGGAGAGCCTCTTCGATAAGCCTTCCGGGACGAGAATGATCTGCTTATTATAAGCCGGGAAACGAGTGTTGGCACTTGGCTCTTGGCAAACAGAGTCCTTGGCGGTCTTGATGTAGCCCTGGGTCTGGTTCGCGGGATTCAATACAGAACGAAGGTGGTGCCCGCCCGCCGCAGAGGTTACCTCTGGCGAGGACCCAAGATAGATTGCGATGGCTTGGTGATTGGCGGAATCATTGTTTCATGGGCCGGTGACAAGGGCTTGCACGTCCAGTCTGCCCGAGATAAATCACAAAGAGGGAAGAAAAAAAGGGAGAAGGACAGGGCTCAGGGGCCAAGGGGGTGCTGTCCCGCTCCGGGCGGGTGGAGGACGGACATAGGACGGGCAGGGAACGGGCATGATTGATGGGATTTCGGACGACTTGGCAGGAACATTGCAGCCGCGTGCTTCGATCCCTGGATCTCTGTCTTTCTGTATCTGTAAGGTGGAAATAAGCATCAATAGCTACAGTTGCATCCGTAGTGGGAGATGTGCACAGGGCATCCGCTATAATGATCTCGCGATGGTGAAGTAGAAGAAGCAATGGCCCTTCAGGATCGTCGATACGTTGACTCGTTTGGGCAATCTTGGTTCCTTGGAGGAACAAGTTCGACCTTGATCAGTGTTGTGCAGCGCAATGAGCGGCATGTCTGAATGTCACATTCGGGGCACCACCGCAGGTGTTAAAGAGCACTTAGATGAGGGGCACAGCGGTAAAATTGATCCGTTGGACAAATCCAGACGAAGTCGAGGGTGCATCCGCCAACCGAGCACCGAATGAGCCGGGTGAGATGAGTTTCCAGGTAGGAAGGTGAAGAATCTACGTGCATCACACGGCCACGACCGGCATTTCGGGCGATTCTACCCCAGATTCGAGCCGGCAGCTGGTGCAGGTGACCATTGACTCGCTGATGCAGAGGCGGCAGATGAAAGGCGGAGACCATACCTCGGGGTATTATTACAGCCAAAAAACAATGGACGATTTTGAGTTCGGGTAACATAGAAGCTTAAAAGAGTACGGAACAAACGGAAATAAGCATGCGGGCAGCAAATTCATGAATAAATGAAGACGCGCAATCCATGCCGACAGCCTCACCTCATGACTGATTCTCATCTGGCTCTGGAGTGTTCGTTCGCAAAGTTCCGGGCGGGATGACAGCCGATCGAAGGATAAACAAGGTGAACCGGCGTCAGTACCAGACGAACGGGAGGGCCCCTTTCCCTGTGCTTCCCCTGTTGCAATACCAAAAATCTAGTCCTCTGGCTTCACAAAGTCCTGAACTTCTCCTGCAGCAATCAGCTGCCCGCCCTCCGCCCAGGGCGCTCAGTGGCAAGTTTTTATGACGGTCTCTCAAAGTCACACATTATTACTTCCTGCAATTACATTCGCTGTTGGAAAATCGGCACATAACAACTTGGCACTCCGCATTACACCAATACGAATGAAAGACCTACCATGTACGTGGCTGTCGGGACTCCAAATTGGAGGGAGAGTGCGTGAGAAAATGCGCGTTGGCGTGCTCAACAACGTGAGAAATCCAGCGCGAGAAGGGAAAGGACGCCAAAAGGGAATTAACTCAGGAGCCCTGCAGGGACAATGCCCCGCTGCCAAGATGTTGGAGACTGGCTGCGTTAGGGTGTGCGTGGCATGCTGGGTCACGCAAGGATCTGCTTAGGAGGCGCATCACTGCCGGCATGGAGATTCTAGAAATCCGACACGAGGCGCTGCAAACAACTCCCACACAATAAGGTACGTATAAGTACTTCACACGATCACCTCAAGTCCACTGGCCGTACGGAGTATCAGTGAGAGCAGAACTATCTTCTTGGAATCATGACTGTCCTTTTATCAAACTTGCATCAATACGGGTGATTTCCGTATTCTGCGGACTTAGCCCGAAGGCTTACCAAATCGTCGGTCCATTGGTTGTGGCTATCTTCACTTGCACCTGCAAACTGACGTTTCCTACGCCTAACTCGGAAGCATTATTTGATGAGCAAACGGCCGGCCTGTTTGACCGCGGACATACTTTGATGGACGAGTCCGAATGCATGTACCAGATGTGAAGCGGCAAGCCGGACAGGCCTCTGTGCCATTGTTCGGTTTTTGAGATGGATCATGGATATCGATCGCATGGTCTCCATCAACGATATCGTACTTGTCATGCAATCAATTCCACGCAGATGGTTGATGCTCGGGATCAAGTTCCTCAATGGACTATCGGGAAACCGAGCTCAATACCGAATGACCTCCCCTCAAGTGCGGATGCCTGTCCTTGTCCTCCAAGACATGGGTGTTTCCTTTTGAGCGTTGCATGTCCTCAAGGGTAGCCGCTAAGCTTAATTCGTCTGAACGTTGTCCACATTTAGCGCTCCTATCAGGTCCACCGTATCGAACATCGCATCATTGAAGCCACTTTTATTTTCATGATCTCGTTTCCTAACAAAGTCTAGCTTGTCTCTATCCCCGGGGGCACGTGTTCCACCACGGACTCAATCTTCCGCTCATCGGCCAACCCCCGACACGACAGACCAGTCACGGGGCCATCGGCTTTGGATCCCACAAACCGCTCATCCGTCCCTTTCGCAATACCGCTCTGCATCGCGACATACCACCGAACCAGCCCCTGGATCAATCCTTTCCCAAGAGCCTTGGTAGTCTCACCAGAATGTTGGCCGTAGCCCCTATCATTTTAGCAACGCCAACATCTCTCGCTCCACAATGTCCATGGGACTGAACTTCGCTGCCTCCCGCTTCAGCTCCTGAGCCCTGCTCCGGTACTTGCCGTTCTCTAGGATCGCCGTGACGGCCTTCACAATCTCGTCTTGACTCGGCTTGCCGGTCCGAAGGCTGATGGCACACCCCGCCATCTCACCCCGCAATGAAACCTCGATTTTGTCTTCCGAGTCCCCTGCCAAGACCATCGGCACGCCGTTCGTAACCCCGTGAGTGAGCGCTCCGTAGCCACCCGTCACTGCGAAGACATCGGAGTACTCAAGCGCTGCGTCGTAAAGCAAGTAATCAACCACGCGAGTGTTCAAAGGGAGGGTTTCATCGTCCTTGAGCCTCAACTCGGCACCCTTGGCGCCAAGAACGGCCATGACGATTAAGTCATCGCGGTTCGCTAGTCCCCGGATTGTGGGAAGAATCATATCGCCATAGTCCTGGACGACAGTGCCCTGAGCAACGAACACCACTTTCTTTCTCTCTGACTCGTGTTTCGTGCTGTTGGCCACGATCTCATCCCACCATACGGGATATTGGTATCCGCTAGGAATCTCTTTACGAGGCAGAGCTCCGCCGAACTTGAAATTGGATGGCCAGTCCGATCGAGAGAGCTCAAGGGCCGGGATGCACATCTGCAACGTCAGATCGTGACATGCCCAGCTAGCATCCCAGAGACCGTGATGTATGACTTGTGCATGGTGACCATAGACAGAGTCCAGAGGCTTGGTGGTTCCGCAAATGTGCTGCAGAACATCGGCCAGCTTGGTGAACGACTCCTTGCACACGTACTCGGCAAATTGCTTGGCAATGACGATGTTACGCATTCGTCCGGCGTTGGAGTCGTCGGCCGGCAAGCCGAATCCAAAGGGACCTGTATCTACACTAGCCCACATTGCCGGCATGATGCTGATGCCCAGGGTTGGCGGCAATGTAGTGTAACCGTCGGGAAGCTCAGCGCCCAGCTTGAGTGGTAAGATGCCACTGTACATGGACTCGCAAAGAACGATAACTTGGCGTTGTGGGTCTCGCTTCCTGAGTGATGCGAGAGCCGCTCGAATGGATTCGAGGGCTGATGGAATAGAATTGATCCAAAGCTTCTCATGGATCCAGAGTAGTTGTCGTAAGCCCCTAGGTATGTCGGCAAACTGAGGGAAAAGCCGATAAAGATCCGTCTCGCTCCGATAGTTGATAAATCCCCTGTGTGGTAGAAAGAAGGCGCCAGTGCGTTCAACTTGCTCGCGGTACCCCTCCGATGCGAGAAAGGACACATCATGGCCACGATGAACAAGGTCCTTAGCAATCTGAAGCATAGGATTCATATGCCCTATAGCTGGGGAGCATAGCATAAGAACCAAGGGCTTTTTTAGGGTCTCGACTCCGGATGTCATGATTGCAGCTCTGAAATGATGAACTTGTTGCTGTTGAAAAGAAAGATCAGCTCTTTCGGAGTTCAAATGTGTGCTTATATTCCATTTTATTCTGGGCAGACAATTCGGAATCATGATCGACAACCAATCGGCGAAGGAGTCATCGGTCAGTATCTTGTGGACGTCTCACCATGCCCACTCAGGAACCGCACAAAGACATGTCAGTTGACAGTTTCTTTAGCCAAGATATGTGCGGCTTATGTCTGCATTCAGCAAGAACAATGCGGGGTGAGCTGATCCGCCCGTGCTGCAAGTTCCTAACTTGCGGCCGTGGGGTATGATTGGCTGACAGTCCGAATTGATCAAGGAACCGTGATGCGGGTTGCCTGCCACCATAATTTCCAACCTAACTACAGATGGAAGTTTACAGTAGTCTCCTCGATATTTTGAAGGCTTCTTTGACCGAACGGGGAAGACTTTGTCGCCATAGCTACCTTCTATGAGTTAGTTCTAAGATCTCGATTGTGACACCAACCTTCATTCGGACCATCATTCGGAGGTGAAACCTAAACGGCCTGCCAGCAGCCAAAACCTAAGTATTGACCTTGTAAGCCGCTTTTGTGGTCCTGTCAAAAGCTGGTGGATCGGCATTAGGGAGTAGTTCAGACTCCTTCATCAGGTACCTAGATGCCGAGGGCGCAGAACCATTGACCCGACGGTTCCCATTGCCAGACTCCTATCGACCGTAGTCGAGACGTCTAGTCTTAACGTTATATAGAGCTTATGAATTACAGCTATGGGTATCGCGAGTGACAGCACTTGCAATGAAATTGGACTTGTCCTTTCTGGCATTTCATTTCAGGAATTTTAATACGTTTTTCAGCTCCATTAAGTATACTGAAATCCGTTTTGCAAGTCGTAAAGCATTTACTTTTCTCGTTAGTTCTAAACCACAGACGAGTTTTATGGAATTTCGAATGAATATGCAACCTACACTGTAATTTGTTGGCGAGGTCTGTCAGCGATGTGCATAGACGATTGCTTCTTGATATATAATGGAAGAGCGTAAGAGCGGATGACTCCCCCCGCATTTACATCCTTTCCTTTTCTATTGTACTATTTCACGATGTTCTTCATCTAGCGTTGGAAGGGGTCGACGTCTTATCTTCGATGCCAGGCGCCGCGCGTTCAAAGTTATCAAGAGGCAGGCATTTGAAGTTACATCGTGGCGCCAACAACGCGATAACAGAATTACTGCCCATGCAAAATCGCATGCAGCATGACTAATCGGTCAAGCCAAGCACGCCATTGATGCCAAAGTGGTGCTCATCGACACTTTTCTCCTCACTCCCTTATCTCTGGGCTCGAAATCTTATCATCAACAGCAAGGGGGCCGGGACCGGGCGGCAATGACCTCGGCTGTTGATCTTGACGTTTAGCGGTCTGGACTCTCGAATCGTCTTGGTGCGACCGACGCGGAGATGAGAACGATGCTCCCAATCAGGGCCTCTATGGCGTGCTCTGCGTGCATCGTCACCCCCTTCGCGGCCATGTGCGAAGGTCGCTTTCACATAAATCTGCAGCGGGAATTTTTCAGTAATTTGGGGTCGGCTTCTCTTTTTGGGACTTGACACTTTGACCTGCCGGCCTGGTATTTTGTTGGATCACATCAGTCTCAACCTGAACCGAAGTCCAGCGATATGGCTGTCAAAGAGGATTCGCTATCCGGGGTCGCGCCCAATATCGAGCAGTCGGAAAAGTATCAAGGTGCGTTGCCCAGGCGAACGACCTCTCAACCGCTCTCTAAGTCTCGTCCAGTCAAGTGGTATCGCTCGCCTTTCTACAATGCGACCATTTTGGGCATGTGCAGTTTTGCAGCCCCAGGCCTATGGGGTGCTATGAATTCACTTGGCGCCGGTAAGGCTCCTACACACCGTTATACCTTGTCACTAGCTAACCATACCTACCCAGGCGGCGCACAAGAACCCTATTTGGTCAACACTGGAAATGCCCTGACATTCTGCCTCATGATTGTTTCGTGTTGGCTCACATCTTCGCTTGTCAAGTTCATCGGCATCAAAGGCGCTCTTGTCATTGGCACCGTTGGGTTTGCGCCGTACAGCGCCGGACTCTACCTAAACAACCGTTACGGGGTTGAATGGCTTGTCATCCTCGGCGCAGCTTGTTGTGGTGTGTCTGCTGGCATTTTTTGGGGTTCCGAGGCAGCAATCGCCATTGCCTATCCGGAGCCTCGTAATAGAGGGCGAATGGTAGCCTACTGGCTGACTTGGACTCGACTTGGCCAGATTATGGGCGGTGCAATCAATCTCGGTCTCAACTCCGACCGAAGCGGAGCCGGTAAAGTGTCGTATAAGGTATACCTCATCTTTATTGCGCTTCAAGCTTGTGGCCCGTTTGTTGCGTTACTACTCAACAACCCTTCCAAAGTTCAACGAAGCGATGGCAAGCCCGTTGAACTCACCATTTCAGACCACCCATGGGACGAGGTCAAAGCAACTACAAGGACATTTCTGAACCCGAAGTTCTTGCTTCTCATCCTGTGGATTGGCCAGGGCGTATACTCTGAGTCCATTTTCTTCACTTATATTGCCCTTTGGTTCTCCGTTCGAGCTAGAGCTCTCGGTTCACTCCTTTCTGGCATCGTGGCTGTAATTTCCGGCAATCTTCTGGGCTTGTGGCTTGACCAAAACCAGATTGCGCTGAAAAGGCGAGCCAGATGGGCTTTCGCAGTCATTATGCTCACTCAGGGTGCGTGGTGGCTATGGCTGACGGTTAATGTTACCGAGTACCGTCGCACACAACCAATCTTTGACTGGAGCGACCCCGGCTTCGGAAGGGGGTTCGGTGTCTTCATCTTCTTGGTATCGGGCTTTCAATTGAACTACAACTTCGCCTTCTTCATCATCGGCCAGATCTCAGATAGTCCACAGGAGACAATTCGACTATCGGCGCTCTTGCGCGGAACCGAGTCAGCCTGGCAAGCCCTCAGCTACGGACTGAATGCAATTCCAATTTTTGCTCTAGTTGGCGGGCCGTACATCAACTTCGGGCTTTGGGGAGCATCCATCGTGCCAGCGTGGCTGGTAATTCGGCATCTGGGCACCGAAATTAAGAATGGAGATTCGGAGACAGCTTCTCAAGTAGAAGCAATTCATGTTGGCAAGCAATAAACAACATCGCTGGCTAAGATGAGCAGAGGCGTCGGTAGGAAGAGTCACAAAGCACAAGGTGTTTGTCATTTACTGGAGAGGACATGGGCTCAAGAGTAACAATTGATGCATGCCCATTGCGTGCCCTTGTTTCTTCCGGTTGTGAATCTCGGCATTTGTCAAGTCGCTGTGTTTAGAAAATATCCGACCGTACTGTCCGAGCCAGTCCGGGTTTTGAGTTCTCGATGAACTTGCCTAAATTGACTCGAATCGCCAAGTTGACTTACAAAGCGTTGTTGCTTTCTCGAAGCACCCCATATAGTTGCTTATATGGATAAATGGCAGTTCACTGCTAATTAAAGCCCTTGTGATTCAAGGCCAGACGTGCTCAAACACGTGGCTGAGAACGGCGCATATAGAATAACCTTCATCCTGTGTCTCTGATAAATTGCGCCGGGCTCTTAAATGTGGAGATCGTCTATAACAGACCTCGTATGAACTCCAACCGAACTGTCGTTTTTAGACTTTGTCTGCCTGTTGCACCCGGTCAGTTGTCTCATCGTTCGCACCTGACAAAGTCATACCCACTTTTTCAGGGGCAGCGAAGAGCAGGCTTCGCCCTCAGCCTTAAGCTCGCATGGCACCAGCAATATTCGGCGTCGGTATCCGCGGCAAGACTAGCGTGCGCTTGAGTTCTGACCATGTCAATAGTTGTCGCATATAGACTCGCTCTGTCAACTCAACTCAATGCACGGCTTAACGGAGGCTGTTATTTCTGCCCAGGGCCTCCTCTTGGCTGGCCTGATGTGGTCCTGGAATAGTTGCCAGCGAGACAGAAAGTTTAGAGACAACGTACTATAAGACTATGAGGACCGCCTGGTGAAAAATGGGATTTGTCTTCTTCATCCTCTATCAGCAGCGCTTCTCTTCTTTCTGACTTGAACATCCAATCATTTCAATTCCATCTTAACCACGAATTCCCATTTGAGACGGCACAGATACCCTAGCTCTCCCAAATTCTCACGATAACTCAAAATGTTCGCCCGGACCATCGTTATTCTTGCACTCGGCGCTCTCGCCTCCGCCCAAACACTCACGGGCTTCCCCGAGAGCATTTCTTGCAAGCAGAATTCCGGGGGAAACGCCAGCGTTTCCAAAGCCGAGATGAAGGCAGCCATCGTTGGCCCTAAGGGTTTCAAAGAAGACGATTCTGCGGCCAACGTCGCCTCAGGGAAATGTTCGAGCCTTTCCGGCATCCCACTATTCACGGTACGTTATTGCAGCAAATCACTGCCAGACCTTAGCCTCTAGTGCGCCTTGCTAATGATTGCATCTGTGTAGGTTGGAGCTGCGAACAAGGCCAACGTTGGATTCGCATACGATAAAGCGAAGGATACTTACCACTTCTGCTTCGCACAGGGTGCGGTTGATGACGCCACTGGCTACCCTTCTCAATGCACCTAGAGGTAGTTTCGATGCAGATTAGCATGACAATTGGAGTTCTTCGGGGAAATTGCATTATCTTTAGCTAGCGCCTTCCAATTCCAAAGTTTCTCATTCGAACTGAAGTTCTCTTATGTGAACTATCTTGTGAGGCGGGACGGCAGTAGCAAAGCCTACGAAACCACCGAACGCAGCAAAACTTCATGTCTTTGGTAAACCTTGACTACTACAGCTTTTGTAGAGTGCAAAACACCCGCAGGTTTTCCTCCTCTCTCTCATGTGAGTACCTGGGAACCTGGATAAATGTAGCCAAATCACATTTAAGCCGTGTGCTTCGTTCTCAAGCCACCTATTTCTGCGAAACTCTTCAGTGTACATTATCACTTCGCCTAGCTTCCCAGCTATTCAAACCGATTCGGGATCAACGTCCATCCCTCTATATTTAACTCCAGAGAAGTAGCCCCACTAGAGAGAGTTGCAGCACTTCCATGATGCGTCACCGGGGTATCTCGGAGAACCTTCTTGATTCTAGAGGCAACGCCGCCAGCACCTCTAATAATTGTCTCATCGATATCTCGATTAGCTCCGTACATCACGAGCTTCTGGACAATTTCAATCTTTCTCTGGTTTGCATCCGCCTTCTTCCTCGCCATATCTCCGCCCCTTAGATTTGGCTGTGCTTGAATGGCTGCAGCAAGAGGGCTACAACCATGAGGCCCGGCGATCTCGATGTCCGCCTTGAACAACTGCACCAGAGTGGATACCACGTCGATGTTTCCCTTTTCGCATGCCTGGTATAATGCAGTCTTGCCAAAGCAATCTCGGCTATTAACTTCGATTCGAGAAATCACGGGTTCTGGTGTTTGAGAGGAGAGACGGCTTGACGTCGAAGTCCGCCTCACGGCTGACGTGGTGGAGGCGAGACTGGTCCTTCGAGCTGACTTCGTATCAAATCTGAATACCAGCTCTGCCATCTTCTTCGTTTGGCATTTGTGAAGGACATTGTGGCCAACGGGGTCTTTAGCGTCTAATCGAGCTCCATTTTCGACCAAAAGTTGCACTGTTTTCGTCATATCTGCCGCGACAGCAATTAGTAGGGGAGTATTGAAGTTGCGGTCTCTAACTTCTAGATCCCCCACATTCTGTACAATCTGTTTCAGAATATCGGATGCAAGATTCCTGTCTGCGACGGCCACATGTAAGAGCGGATGGTCCTCAGAGTCTGTGACCTCAAACCTCGGTATCTCCATGTTATCAAGATGAACATCTGGAAAGCCGTTGTTTCGAGCCCATTCTAGAGCCCTCTCAAATCTCTTCCGTGGGAGGTCCTCGAAAGACCCGATTTCTTGAATAACATAGTCTCGTGTGGCATGATATTCAGCGTGATCTCCAGCTTCGTAGCGGGCCTCGCGAAGTACGCGACAAGTGTCGATAATCTTCGCTGTATCTCGCGGGTTCTCGTTCAGTCGAGTTTGAAGGGCTATTTCCAGGTGATAGCACGCGGCGGGTAAGTCCATACTTTGATGACAGAGTACTCCCAACTTATGATGAATGCGAGAAAGCTGAGACTTATCCATCGAGCTAGGATTATCGTGTGAGCTACTTAGCGCTTCCAGCAATTTTCTTGCCTTTTCGTTTCCGTCTGTGGATGCAAAGAGACCATACAGATCGGCGAGCTCTTCCATCATTTCATCGTTGTCGTTTTCCAGATGTGCCGCACCAGATTCAACCAGCGATTTGCGAATTTCAATGGCTGTCTGGAGATACAGCGAAGCATTGTAGTAGAGTTCACCCTCCTTCAAAAGGTTGGATATCTTGATGTTCCATCCATATTTGTGCATCTCGAGTGGCTGATTGAACCGCGCGCCGGTTGCTCTGAGGCCGGACGTCTCGGAGACAGGAGATACCAGGATGTTATTGATTGGACCACGTTGAGAGTCATTGTGATTCTGATCTCCTTCGATAAGTACGCCTTCGGCGAGGCGAGTGGCAGTATGACTCCATTGCTGAACATTCAGAGCAAGTGTAGGATCTCTGATCTCACGCCCTCCGACGGACACAAAGGTCTGATCGGTCGTGTGGGGTACGTGCAGAGAAAGTGTGACCGTGTTCCGAAGTTGCCGAGCAAAGCGTTGAACATCTTGGAGTATCTGAGCTTGTGAATTCTGCACTTCCACGTTGTGTACTCTTCACTTTGAATCAGCCTCGTATCGTTGGAGCTTCTTTAATAACCACTCACAGAGAAAGAGACGATAGTGTTAAGTTCAAGACAGTAGTGTAATGTTTGATGTCCTCAATGGCTTGATTAACGTCATCTTGATTCATCTTCTGTTCAATAGCAAGTGCAATCTGATAACCCAGGCTGGGATTTGCTGGAACGGTCGGCAACTGTCTCTCGAGGGTGAATAATGATTTTTGGCAACCTTGCAAAATCGTTGAGATGCTTTTGTAGTGGAAACGCTCTGGAGGCAGCAATCGACGCCCTTGACGCAGGCTACAGGCCCGTCGCACGCCTTCTAGTGCATGGCGAAGGAGCTCGATTCGTTGACGAAGACGGCGGATATTGCCTGTGGAGCTACGGACTGCAGAGACTGTTTCGAAGATTTTCGATGCTGCCTCGCAAACTGGCCCGACAACGCCGATAACAGCTGCCAATGCTTCCATACTGATGGTAAATTCTTCTGTACTTGGATAGAAAAACCAGATGATTAGGAAACTATGATAAGAAAGTGGGGATCACAAATTTCAAAATAGCAAACTTGAGCTTTCAATAGTCAGCCGGCCATCGCCCAGGGGTCGTAACAAGCGTGTCCTCCTTATGTGGATGCTTCAGAAACGACATCATTCCTCAAACTGCGGTGTCGCCTGATCTTTTGGCCCCCCATTGCGGTGACCAGTTACACGTATTTTGTTTCAATCATTGGACACTTGTGTCATGTTATTTGGAATGGGATTGGCTGAGATGGCTGGGAAGGCTTAGCTCTGCTGGCTGGTCCTCGCACACAATCAGCTGTCTGTACAATACAATGGTTGTAATCTGTAAGTGCGTTACCTTGTTAAGATACTGCGTCTATTCAATGCCTGCTTTCTTTCTGTAGAAAACCTCCTCTGTCTTAGAAATGACGAAGCGATCCAGGTGGAGGGGGCTATGAACAGACAAGGGATGTATTGTACACTGGAAGGATTGTACCTTCGCAAAGCTGTTTTAGCTATGTTGGTATTTCAGTTTGCATCATAGCATCGATCATTTCCAGATTTGTCTTTGTAATTGTCGCAGACTGATGACTGCCTTGAAGTGGCTTTGGGCTTTCTGCAAGGGAGGTTCTTTTCACATCAATCAAGAACGCCTCGCACTCACCACAAACCAATATCAACACCTGATATTTTTCACAATTGAAGACCTCACATAATAGCACTTTTCCTTACAGAGAGCTATGCATCTCTTGAGTGCGGGTGTACGGGTTGACGGGGTATCGTTGCCAGCTAGTACAACCACAATTTCGGGGATTCATATACATGAGATCGTCACAGCTACGTGCTGGAAGGAAGTCACCGAGATCGTGATCTCAGCAAAATCTCTAGACTTTTAGTTACTTCAGACTCATTATATTCGAAACGCACATTGTGGGTAGTTCCTTTTGGGCATCCTCGCTGTCAGGACTGAGACCAGCTCACGCCAATGGTAATTTAGACGGCCTTGACGGTAGGAAGACGAACATCACGATCAAGGAAATCGATGATAAGAACAAGGGATGGTCGCCTTACAGATGCCTCACGCCAATCACGCCAAGTTTCTAGGGGTTTGGATTCAAGGCTTTGTCTCGGCCGAATTCCTGTTAACTGAAACATCTTGGGTACGACACGCTGTACCGCCCACATCAGATCTTCGCCTGCCGGGTATTACCGCCCTGGACTTACGTGAAGAAAATCCTTTCCATCCAAATACTCATCTTCAATTTTTGGATATGAGGTATTTCATTTCGTGAAGTTTCAGCAATATCCCCAACTTCAACACCATGAGAGACCGAGCCTCTTACACTTCCTCTATGACAGAGAGGTTCCGGGCTCAAGTACGACGACGCCAAGTGAATCTCGATGCCCTGATTGAGGGACCTCTTGGTGGGTTATTACATTTACCTCTTTTTAGCCCTTTCATTGTTACCATGTCTTTAACAAAGCTCACAAAGTCGAAGTTCATCTGGACGACGATGACCTTGCAAGAGATGTTCGCGCATTTGCTCGTAATCTTCCGGATGTTGCTCCCGGGGACTTGCTCAGAGCTGTCCGAATTGCCAGAGAAATTCGAGCATACACCGACGAAACCCTTCAAGGCTCGCTCCCCGATCCACTTACTGATGAAGAGAGAAAAGCGCTTAAAGCTGAACGGGAGAAGACGTTCTCCCAAAGCGGCATGAAGATTATCATAATCACTGTGGCTCTTGCAGCACTGCTACAAGGTCATGTCCAAGCTTCAATCAATGCTGGAAGTGTCTTTGCTTCTTTACTAGGGGTCTCCAGCGATGACGGCCTTCAAAGTGGAAAGGTGTGGAAGCTTGGCGCCATGAACGCCGCACCGTACTTGGCTGCTGCCTTGTTGGGCGCTCCTCTGTCTTTGCCATTGAACTATTGGATGGGAAGGCGTGGCGCAATTGCATTCGCAGCGGCTTTCATATTCGCCAGCTCTCTAGCTTCTGCATTTATACACACCTGGTATCAGCTTCTCGGCGTCCGTATTATAACTGGAATAGGTGCGTGGTTCTCATTTGAGTGAAGCTTCAGAGGCTAAACAGCTTTCAGGGATGGGTGTTAAAGCTGTCAGCACCCCCACACTAGCCTCCGAGACAGCCGTTGACCATTGGAGGGGCTCATCCATCCTCATGTGGCAGCTATGGTGAGCACAATTTCCTTGGTCGTAACAGAAGACCTTGAGCTGCTGACATGATTACCTCAGGGTCGCCTTTGGCATTATGATGGGCGGTGTCACTAATCTCGTTCTGGTGGCGGCAACGAATGCCCTGAGCTTCGACGCCAGTATGAACTATCCGGAGGGTTCTGATGAAGCATCAAGAGGATGGCTAGCTCTCAGACTAATTCTGGCCGCCCCTATGGCGCCTGCGGTACTTACATTGATTGCATTAGCGTATTGCATGGAAAGCCCTCGATTCTACATGCGGAAAAACACCCCTAACTACCGACCTATGCGTGCATACGAAATTCTCAGCAGCGTGCGAAACACTCAGGTGAGAATTCTTGTCTTTATCTATTGCACAATCTGGATCACTGGTTCAGAACGCTAATTATGCGGTATTGTTCACCTGGATAGTTCCAAGCTCTTAGAGATGTTTATCTCATCCACAAGAATAATGAGCTTGACGAAGAGACTGGTGACATGGAGAAACCAGAACTATTCCAACATAGCTCTAGTGATAACCGAAAACACGGTCTGACATTTGCCAGCCACATGTCCTTTGCCTTTTCAGATGCATATCGACAATACAGTCATCTCCTACATACTCCTCGCCTACGGAATGCTGTGTTGAGCACATGTACAGTGGCTTTGGCACAACAACTCTGCGGAAGTAGGAAAATCATTTCGATCTCTCGATTCAGAATGTGGAACGCTAACGGGTGTTAGTAAATGTTCTTGCTTTCTACTCTAGTATAACAACTTGCGATCGCGTCAATTACCACAAATCCTGGCCACTGACCGTTACCATAGATGACTTCTTCATTCAAACACATAGAACGCTACAAAACGCACTGCTCTACAGTTTCGGATGTGGTAGGTTTATTACTGGTGTCTCTCGTCTTTGGGTCTGGGTCTGACGTTCAACAAGGTGCGGTGAACTTTATTTTTGGTCTCTTCGCGATCAGGTACGCAGCATTTTTTCACGATGGATCTACACAATCATAACGACTCAAAGATCCATAGATAACTTCGGACGGCGCCGCTGGCTTTTAGTGACCCTCCCAATGATGTTCCTGCTCTTGGGCGCTGCAGGTCTGTCCTCCAATATCGAGAGCCCAGATGTTCGAGTCGGGATCGTTGCACTATTCATCTTCTGTAAGTGAGATGACTTAGCTCACAGCCGTATCTTTGGCGCCTTCTGATGTCGGCAGTGTTTGCTGCGGTATATTCTCCTGGACTAGGACCAATTCCTTTTACCCTGGCGTCTGAGAGGTGAGTCTTGATATCGACAGTTTCGCTCTTGCATCTACTCATATCCCTCAGTTTCCCAATGTCGCAACGAGAAGCAGTAAGTGAAGGTCATGGAGACCATACCATATCATTGAGGTTCGAGGCAGAACTAATTCGTCAATCAGGGCTGTTCTGTGGCAATATCTGTGAACCTCTTCTTCGCAGGGATCTTCACGATCGTTTTCCCTTTCATCAATGAAGCCCTTGGGTCTGCGGGGACTTTGTACTTACTAGCGGGTCTTAACGTTGTTGCGTTTGTGTTGATCTTTCTCGTAGTCGAAGAGACCAAACAGATCAGCTTGGAAGAGCTCAGCCAGATTTACGCTGTCCCGAAATGGAAGTTCATGCAGTATCAGGTCAGGGATAATCTTCCATATCTCGTCAAACGGTATATCGTGAGAACGTGGAAAGACAGAGAACCACCAACCTTTTACACCATAGTTGTCGAGCCGTACCACGTCCATGAGCTGAGACTTAGAGAACACGTGTGGGACCTGTCGAGCGATGATCAGGGGTCGCGCTGAGAAAGCATTATGAGACGATGCATCGCTGGACGAGTAATCTCTATGTATTTAGTTACTTTGACCTCTATGCATCTGAAATAATACGATACCCAGTCGGCATTTGAAAGAGACGTGGAGAGGGGAAGACGCAGGAGGGGAAAGTCAAAGTGAGATTCAGAAATAAGGATGACCGACTACGGCTATCATAGCAGACTGACGTTAGATTGGACGAGAAGGACATTAAAGTATTGCGCTGAAGAAATGACTCATAATTACATGGATATTTTCCCAGTCCCCAATCAAGACTTGACCTTCTGTAGCGTCACGCCGAAAGGTCTAGGCGAGATGCTTTGGGAGGCTCCATCCTCTCCAACATTGACGATGTAGTCATCAAAGGCAAGATAGTTGTACGTGTTGCGGTCGATTAACCCCCAAGTCTGGCATCCCCCCTGTGGAAAGAAAAGTTTATCATCAATATCTTCCTCGTCATGATTCTTGTAGACGGCACGCCAAGACCATGTGTTCCCTTCTTTGATGTTGGTCGGATAGATTCTGGCAGTAACGTTGAAGGTCTTGTCAGGCTTGATTGACGTGCTGTAATTGGGAATGTTGGGTAGAACGGGAACACCGCGAACTTTGAGGTCGGTCAGCGACAGACCAGGTCCATCGTCGACAGACAAAGTGACAGTCGAGTTCGTCTCAGGATCGGCGTAGGTTCCAGCAAATGATGCTTCTGCGGCTTCTTTGTTTGCTTGCTCGAGAGCAGGAATCAGTGCAGAAATAACTCCAGAAATAACTCTGGTGGGGAACATGAATTCCGTGGAGGCGGGACCGCCAGTGAGAATAGAAACCGTGAGGTCATAATCAGGAATCAGGAGGAGGAGATTGGAGTAGAGACCGAGGTCACCGGATTTGGTGTAGATGTGAACAGGAACTCCGGTGGAAAGGAGGGTCGTGGAGGACAAAATCTCCCAGGGGGCGCCGATAGAATAACCGGAGGAGGTCGTGAAGGACTTAGGCTTCAGCCAGGACTTAGAGTCTATGGAGAGCTTCTCAGAAAGTATGGCAGTGCCGAAGTTGAGCATGTCGCGGGTGTTGGTGTAGATGCCGCCGGCGCTGGTGTAGACACCGAGATCTCCTTTCCATGTGGGTTCCCCCTTGGGGATGAAACCCCATGAGTCTTGGACTGGGCCAGTGACGGAGGTGTTGGTTAGGCCAAGTGGCTTGAGTATGGTCTCGTAAAGCAAAACTTCGTATGTCTTGTTCGTGGCGGCCTCTACCACGAGGCTTAGAAGAGATATACCGAGATTGGAGTAGATGGGCGTAGTGTGCGGTCGGAAGACGAGGGGCTTCTTGTTCAAGCTAGAGATTAGATCTAAAGGACATTAGAAAAGCGTAGATAGACGCAGACTGAAGGATCTTGCATACCTCCTGCAGTGCAGGCTTTCGTACCCTCAAGTCCTGAGCATTTGGGTCGCGTCTCATTTGCAATTGCTGGGAGGCCCATCAGCTTCCAAGGGTAAGCTGCAAAGTTGGCGAGATCCGTAGCGACTGGAACTGTCAGCATAGGATGGCGGTAGAATGGAAAGACTCAGATACTGACTGTCGCCGCCAATGCCAGACAAATGAGATGCAAGGTCCTCGACTGTAATGGTATCCCACGGAATAACATTGAAAGAGCTGTTCTCCGGTGCTTTGACCGTTCCTTCCTTGAGTTGTGGTAGATACTTAGTGACGGGATCGCTGCCTTTGATGTGGGAGTCCTGGAGGGCGGTCAAGACAGTGAAAAGCTTCGTAATACTACCGCCACGAAACACTGTGTCAATGGTAACCTCCTTGGTGCCAGTAGCCTCTGCTATTGCGGGCGTATGGTAGAACTCGAATAGCGGGCTATCCTCGTGGACAGACTTTACGCCGATGGCAACGCCGGTGCTATTGAGCTCATCGGAGGATGTGAGGTTGACAAGATTCTGCTTGATCTTTGCCAGAGTCTCCTTCACGAAAGTCGAGTTGCTTGGGCGTTTTATTGATGGGAGAGTGTAACCAGTAGGAGGACAGGGATTGGCTTGAGTGCCGGCAAGGAGAGTCGTAATGACTATTATGAGTGGTAATTTATACAGCATTTCGAAAAGTGCAGGGCGTGCTATATGAAATCGGAAGACTGCGGGTGAGGTGGTGTTTTTGTCTGCTCGTTCCCTGTGAGATTTGTGAGATCTCGACTCCTATATATGGGTTCTTCGAGGTTATCATATTTTACATACCCATGAGCTTTGATGTTGACAAGCGCCGGTAACCGCGAGGAAGAATACTTGATACCTTTCCGACTTGAGCTCAGCCACGAGACATGGACGCCGCTGAAGTTGCTGGAGCTCTCACAGCCCGACATCACCAATCGCATTCACTTGGGAACTCTTAAGGAGCAACATCCACGTCCATCTTTGCTCTCGAAGGATCTGCCTAGCAGACGCCATCGTGAACAGACTTCGCCCGGTGTCTTTGGCGAAATAAGGTTAATTATGGTAGAACAGCCTCTTGGCGTGCAGTGCTAGACTTCTGCTATGGAGCTTAGAGCAGCTAAGAGCACGGGCGGGGCTGATGAGCTGCGGCCCTGCTGCTTGGTTGGCATTTGTGGTGGGTTTATCTCAAGGCAGACAATAAAATCTAGCTATAGCTTGCTTGTTTTATGCTTGGACAAGCTGAGTCGCCTTATTCGGTAGTGATCTTCATAGGATATTGTTGATAATTTGGAACCTGGTGATGTAGGTGGTGAGATTTGGCGGAGGCGCGGAGTGAAGACTCGTGGCAGGAGCTTGGGCCCTGTAAGCACGGCATTTGAGCAGAAGACCCTCCCGAAAGCTGCGATTGGTTCGCTCGCAAAAAGTCCGAGCTGTTTGTTCATTGACCAATGTTGAGCTTGAGTCACTACACTCCGTTGCGTTGACAGCGTCCGCCCCCAAGTTTGACCCGGAAGGAAAATTTTCCGCTAGCTTAGAAACCCCTTAAAACCCCCTAAACTTCACGTTTTAATAACTCTATGCGTACGTAATGCGCGTAAATAAAAAATATATCAATCGATAGCCCTCGATTAGGTGATTATAATGATATCTTTTTTATTCTCGCGTATTACGTACGCATAGAGTTATCTAAGTGTGAAGTTTAGGGGGTTTTAAGGGGGTTTCTAGGTTAGCGGACACTTAACGCAACGCTAAAAAGAAAAAACGAAACCCCCGGCGCGTTGCGTTGAACTGTCCGCTTAAAAAACCCCTCAAAATTAGCTTTAACTTCACACTTAGATAACTCTATGCGTACGTAATGCGCGAGAATAAAAAAGATATTATTATAATTACCTAATCGAGGGCTATCGATTGATATATTTTTTATTTACGCGCATTGCGTACGCATAGAGGTATTAGTAGACGAAGTTTAGGGCGATTTGGTGGTTTTTCGGTAAAAAGCCCCTTTTTTTGCCTTTTTCGGGCTAAAAACTGCGGGGTGGACGCTGTCAACGCAACGGAGTGTAACAATTTGACACTCGTCCCTGTATCTTGATCACCATTTGGGGGCGGTTGTCGGGCGCATTTCCTGCACAGCTAGACGCGCCAGGGTGCATGTCCAGCCTGGATGCTCCCTGCATTGGCCAGACTTGCGACTTAAACGGCAAACCTGCAGCCCTCGTGGGACAGGATGGCCACTCAGCAGGGCTGAAGGACCAGATCCCATGTCGAAACGATCGTCCCAGGCTAGGCAGAGACATTCTCTGGCCTCCTGTTCGACAGCTCCACGAGGGAGAGAGCTCTATCGTGCCCATTTGCGGTTTGCTACTGAGCGGAAAAGCAGCGGTATCCATCATGGCCGGGCACTCGACGAAGCATACTACTACGAAGTAAAGTACCATTCTAATCTTACTATGACAGTCAGTCACCTGTTAAGTGGTCGATTCCCGCTCATTTCAACCCTCTCCGACCCAAACCATGTCATATTCCACTACAAGGAATGCAATTCATCATTCCAAAGTCCCGAAATCAGGAATCCACGCCAAAGTAGACTGGAAGCTCAAAACTCAACACGCATCACGGCATCCTGAACGATACCATTCGTAAACGTACCAAGCCACAAAACAAACCTCTAGCGTCAGCCCCCCGTAGCCTCAACCTCGTGATTGCCCGCCTCGGACTACCAACTCGGACTTCTCAGCAGCGCGCTGAACCACCACAGCCTCGCCTCATGGACCTTGCGGCCACGCAAACGCAAAGCCACTTACGCCGGCTAGCGGCCAACGACAAGAGCCGCGCTTCCGCTCCACCGGCAAGACATACAATTAGCGAGCCTCAGACTGTTTCCACGTCGACAGGCCAGCAAATGACGGACCCTGACAGTACTCCGCAGGCGTCTCTGCAGCTTCCTGCTCCATCTTCGGGCCGCAAGGGGTCTAAGAAGGTTCGGACTGGATGCGTCACGTGCAAGTTGAGTCCGACCTCTCCCCTCCTGTCCTTGTGGCACCTTGCAATCGCTTGCATACTGACGCGTTTGCAGAATTCGGAAGGTGAAATGCGACGAGACCAAGCCTGCATGTCTCCGCTGTACCAAAACGGGGAGGAACTGCGACGGCTATCTCCCTCAAAAGGCGGCCAGCAGCAATGATGATGCTGGAAGTCCAGGCTCAGAAGTTGCTCGCCTGAATCCTCCCATATCACCTTTCGCCGACTGGGCTGGTGGAAGCCGGGAACAACGCGCCTTTGACTTCTACCGCAACTTCTCTGCGCCGGCCATCTTCAGCGACGGATCCGGTGGTTCGACCCTGTGGAAGCAGCTTGTCCCGCACTTCTGCCATGCTGAGCCAAGCATCCGTCATGCTGTCCTAGCCATCAGCAGTCTCCACGAGTCTCTGTCACAGGAGAAGTCTGCCGACGCGGGAGACACCATATCATCCCCGAAGTGGGCCGGCGTGCTCTCGAACACCTTCGCATCAGAGCAATACGGCAAGGCACTCAAGCATCTACAAGAATGGAAGCCATCCGAGTCCGCAGGGGTCACGGTCCCGCTTCTAGCATGTCTCCTCTTCATCTGCATCGAGTTCATGCTTGGTGATGAGAGAGCGTCGCAGGTGCACATCAACCAGGGTCGGCTAATTCTGGCGCAGCTTGATTCGTCAATAGCTGGAAGCGACGTCAGTGTCATCAAAAAGCACTTTGTACCCATTTACAGCCGGCTAAGTCTTGCTTCGTTTTTGTTTGGGAGCAATCCCGCTGAGATACCCTCGAACCTGCGCTCTAGCTCCGCTACCAACTTGTACTTCGCGTCAGTCGACGAGGCAGAAGTCGCGCTGTACGAACTCATTGACGATGGACTCCGTTTCAGCAACATGGCTAAAGGGATAGTGTACTCCCGCCCAACAGATGACCCACAACTTCAGACTCTCCAGCAACAGCAAGGAGAGATTCTGGCGAAGTTCAACAAGTGGCATGTTGCGTTCACAGTGATCTCAGCAGTGGAAGATGCGAAGAGGGCCGGGAAGCTCTGCTTGCTGTACTACCATACAGCCAAAATATGGATCAGCACCGCCATGTCCCCCCTTGAGACGGCGTATGACGACCATATTGCTTCCTTTGCCGCCATTATTCATATTTCTGCCGAGCTCGTGCACTCTTCAAAGAAATATGTCAGGGATCCCTCCAAAGCAGCCATGTCGACACCCAAATTCGTCTTCGATACAGAGGTCATACCCCCGCTGTACTACACCATCACCAAATGCCGCCACCCCATGTTGCGACGAGCAGCCGCCGATCTCCTAAAGCAGGAAGCTGTAACGAAACGAAGAGAGAACCTGTGGGATGCGCACATGTCGGCCGAGATAGGCAAGCGGATTATTGCGATCGAAGAGGATGCCGTTCGCCGCGACGCACCTGACTTGGGAACTATGAATTGGGACGCGATCTCATGGACGGGGTCCGAGGAGGTCGCAAATCTCCAAGCGCCGGCGGCCGGCTTTCCCAGCGATACATCAGTGCCCTGTACGCAGCGCCCGTGGATTTCGAGAGAAACGAACCACATGCTCAATGAGCAATACGAAGCAGTGACCGACATTGCTCGGAGCAGGCAGACGACGCCAGGGTCGGTGTCCGCGGGATCATCCACAGGTTCGTTGAGTAGCAATACCAGCTGGGGATCGATACAACTCGAAGCACCGTTCAACTTGCCCGAGTTTGCTAGAGTCAAAAACGTGTTGATTGATAATGAGACGGCCCATGGGAGTTGGTTGACTTTGTTCATGGACCCAGAGGAAGCAGGTGCCCAGAGTTGGAAAGTCACAAAGGAGTTTGTAAGGGCTTGAGGCGGTGCTTAATCGCGAGTCAACCAGCTTCATCGATCTTCATGTCTAGCAGCTATTCTTGCAAAGCAGCAAACTGGCGTTCGTAGAGTTGGCATATTATGATTGATCTTCCGATCTTTCTCGAGTAGGAAAATCGCTGGCCTTTTGCTGAAATTAATATGAGTGTAGTGTTAATAACCAGAGGATCTAGAGAATTTGTGGTATGGTATTTGCTGAGTACACATTTATTGCTTTCCTGGACTCATGATTACTATTCGTGCGATCCATCTCCAGATTGAGGTTTGCCCGGAGACCAGGTAACATGCTTGTCCTTCCAGTACCCCTGCTGATACCAAGTCCATCCCAAGCATCTGTACTTCACTTCGACGAAATCCATGGATGCGTATCCTAGGTCGACGAAGGCGTATCGTCGGTCGAGCTTCCATGCACAATCAATCGACTCTTCAAGTCCTCGACAGCTTGTACTACAGTCCAATCCGTGGCACACAACCTCAAAACGACGGCCTGATGACTCCCCGACTCTTAGTATCGAGCCTTTCTGAGAAGGATCAGATTCCTCTCTTTTCTTCATATGCTCCAGAATCAGACCCGGCTCAATGCACGATGAATATTTCAGTCGACTGAATGGTGGATTTTCCAGTCGAGGCCAGGTTTGGCCTGGCTGAATGAATGGTGAAGGCTGCAGTCGAACCAGGCGGACCGTAGGTATCTCCTTGAACATATGAGCTAATTCGCAAATGTTCTCTGAGATTTCCGGACCACCCCAGGTACGCGTGTGTATGATCATGACTTGCTGAAGTTGACGAAAACGCTGCTTGAGCGAATTTGGTAGCCCAGATTTCCAGAGAGGGAAGTAATAATTCGCATGCACCTCTATGTCCAAGCTCCTGATATATGGCAACATCACCGTAGCGCATCCCACGGATCGGGAAAGCCCTGATGGGTCCAGGTGGAACGATGGGCGATTCAGTGTTCCGATATCTTTCCTGTAGAATTGATCAGAGGGCCCCAAGTTGAAGGCGAGGACAATTGTGTTTCGGCGACCAATGAATTCCAGAGCCTCTTCTCGCATTTGTCGGCATATCTCAAAGAAGGGCAATTGGACGGCGTCGTGATGCGAATACCTCGCTACCAAGCGAAGTCTGCTAGGAAGCATATCGCTTGCTTCATGAATCAAGTCGCGTATCTCGTGCGGAAGGCCTAGGAATGAGCATCGTGGATGATAAGCTGTGAGATGCTCCTTTGTTACGCTCTCCATCTCAGTGTTGTCAATGAACGCTGGCGAGTCTGTCAAAACCTCAAGGAAAATCGTCTCGTATAGTTTGCTGCGTATAAATCTTCTGTTGATTTTGCTTAATGTGTTGGCGAGGAGTGTGGTTGTGGGTGTTTCATTCGCGGACGGATTGAGATTGCCTAGAATCAGGCAACTTGCCAAGGAGAACGAAAACTTTGATCAAAGCTGATTTCTAGGAGTGCAAACTTAGATTGTAGTGTATTGAGAGACATATATGTGCCCATGTTCGTTGGCCACCGCTTTGGGTTGGCTGGCAGGTGACATGAACCCAAACCCCGCCCCCCTTCAAAAGCTCCAGATCAGGCTTGGTGAGTGTTGGATGCAAGGACATAGCACGCAAGCAAAGCATGATAGTGATGAAAAATTACGAAACTCGATTTTCTGTCTACCATGACGCCATGCCATGACCCAAGTAAACAGGTTGAGGCCGCGCGCGACCCAGAACTACCAGAAAGCCACTTGTCCCCCGACCCTGATTTGGTATACATTTTGACGAAAGCAAATGAAGCAAGAAGCCTAGCATACATGCCAGGAAAATGTACTCACACATGGAACTGAAAATACCGCAAACGCCAACGCGGTCTTCAACCAAACCCATTTTCAGAACCCTGAACTACCAGCTCTTCTCCCGCTGACTTTGGTGACCCGTAAACCATCCACACATCGTCTTGACCGGCCTACCAGAAGCTGCACCATCCTATGTAATGCTGACAAAGGTTCTCCAGTTTCGTCGCCTCGGTAATGAGCTTGTTGACCTGGTTAATGACATCAAGCTCCTCATTGGGCTTGAAATCCTTGCCCGTCAACTTCTGTGAGACACGGTCCAGCACTTCGACGGCCCTCGCGTTCTGGATCTCAGTGGGGTCTTGACCGTTGTTACCGTTAACGACACTGCCTTCATGAGCCATCGACGAGTTTGTTCTGGAACGAGAGCGCGCGACCGGTCCTCCGCCAGGCATTCCGGGTTCGGCTGCGAGGAGCTCCGATGGTGCAACGTCGGCTTCAAGGACGGAGGGTCGGCGGGCGCGGCCGCCTTGGGGCCCGGCAAGAGATTGTTCGCGTTCAGATCTGAAGTTGGGTCCCGCTGGGCTTGCAGCATTCGTAAGACGCCAGGTGAGAAGGGGATCGTGGATGAACTGCCATAAACTGTTAGTTAAATACCTCCAAACGAAGCTCACCGAGCTTACCGCCTCCAAGACAGCCATGACGCTGTCCTTGTTGTCTCTCAAGACCCTCATGACATGCTCGCAGGTAATACGGAAGCTTCCCTCGATGTTGCTCACTTCCATGGCGTAGGTGAGCATACGGGTAAGCCGGAAGGGCACCCTCTCGGGATACTTCTCACGCTTCATGGCCACCTCGAAACAGTCACCGAAATCGATGTGGATGATCTTGCCAGTCACGCGGTCCAGCATAAGGTTAGACGGGTGACGATCTCCAAGACCAAGGATATATCCGACCATCGACATGACACCGAGAGACCGAGTGTAGTTGGTACGACGTTCAAGCCATGCTTCAGAACTCTTGCTCTTGAGCCACAGAACACGGTATAAGTCTTGGCCGGTGGTGTTATCAAGCGCATAACCAAAGACCTCAACCTTCTGCATAAGGGTAAGATTGTCGTAGTCGGGAGCCATCTGAAGCATGATGCGATGCTCGATATTAAGGAGGATCTTTCTGCTTTCGCGGTACTCTCGGATGAGGACGTGGAGGGTGTCACTGTTAGGTACCCAACCCAGCAGACCGGAGTTCTGGGAAAGCGGAATCGCCGGGTACCGCTGGATGTTGAGGTGACGCTTGTAGCACTCGGAGTCGTTCGCCAACAAGGTGTTGCACAGACCGAACAACTGCATAACTCGTTCGTCCTGGCGGATATCCTCGTGACCCTTGAGCAGGAAGGCGTAGGACACACCGTCACTGCCACTGATGTTGAGTTTTCGGGGCCGCTGCTTACTGTTAATAACCGTGAAGGTACCCTCAAACTCCATGATGCGGACAATGGGCTGGCCGCTGCGGTAGGTGCCGGGAACTGCCAGGTCCAGGTCCTTGGCGGCAAGCAACTTCGGCGAACAGTAAGGCAACTCGAGCGTAGTAAGCTGGGGTAGCTGTCGCGAGATGCGCCGGAACACCTGATAGTAGAGATCCCAAGCTTGGTTGAGGTCGTTGACATCTCGGCTGGCCTCGTACTGTCTGCACCACTCGCGTGCTTCAGTGAGGTCTCTGCCGAAAGCCTGGGTGAAAGAAATCTCGCGCAGTGTTTCGGGTCCCCGCTCAAGCTGATCGTGGAGAGGCTCGAGAGTGGCAAACATGCCTTCAATGTTGTGGTCGCCAAAGTAAAGTCGCGATGCTTCCTCGAGTCCCTCATGCCATTGCTCATGCCAGAGGACCGCGACCCTGATAAGTTCGTGGCTGACAATGTCGGCTTGAGAAACGAGGTTGGCGCTGTGTTGACGCATACTATCCATAATCTGAGCAGCGGATCGCGATCGACGAGTGTTCTGGGATGACTTCATGGCGACAGTCAAGGGATACACCAGAGCCTGCGGGTGGGCTCTACCAACATCCGCCAAGAGACTATGGATCGACTGTTGCACGCGGCGAGTCGGCTGGTTGATACGGGCGATAAGCTGAGGAATGACCTCCAGCCATGTATCAACACTGACATTCGTGAAGCCTTCGGTGACGGCGGCATTAACGTCGGCACTGGCGCCATGTGTGAACCACAAAGTCAGAAGACGGAGTGTGTCCTGGAGGGAGCTTCCAGCAGACAGCGCTATCGACTTGAAGAAGCCGCGGACAGCCGGAACAACGTGCTCGATGACCATATGATCAGTCCTTTCGCCTCTAGTTGAAAGAGCCTGAACAATCTCAAAGTTGGCCAGGGCCCATGCGTGCCATGCCTTGTACCACCTCGGGTTATACTTGGTCGCCTGAGAGTACGAGGTGAGAATGTCCTGGACGTGCTCATACTGCCAGTTCTCCTTGTTCAGGGCAATCAGCCACTCGCCTTGGCGGAGGTAGCACTTGGCCAAGAGAACCGTCTGGTCATACAACGCCTTTTGAGTCTGCGGGTTCATGAGACTGGGGTCGATCTGGTGAGGGAAGCCGTAGTCGCTGGTCAAGTCCATGCCGTTGGGTGCCTGGGCAGTGAGGTGGGCCTTTGTCGCCTCATAGCGATGCGCTGAATCGTTAGTAAACTTGCGCAGGCAGTAGAGAGTCCTCTCGGAAATTCCTGATGTGCGGAAAGCAGGTTGCTGGCCGACCTCCCACTCGTACTTGAGCATGGCGTAGATGATCTGCGAAGGGATGTTCCGGGGCAGGCCGACATTGGGCTGCTGCGGTCGCTCGTTCCAGTAGGGAATCAGCGTCTCCAGAGGAGCCTCTACGCCAATGAGCTGCTTGAGAGACTTCTCGGCGAGTCCCATGCGACCAGACTTGCGACAAAGATTGGCGAATTTGATCCACATGTGCATGTTCTCCGCGGGGGTAATAACCAACGCACGAAGGCGAAGCATCCTTTGCCAGACCTCGACATTGCGTTGACAGCCCTTGAGTCTCGTCTCCCATGTGCGGCGCATGGTCGCCTTCTTCTTCTCGTCTGTTTGCTTGTACACAATGAGCTCCTCGAGTTCGGCCAGCATCTGCACTCTGACGACGACTTGGTATGCGCGGTTGTACGATTCGCTGACGAGGGCACTCAATTCGGTATCCAGACCTTCGCGCGCTTGCTGCACGCAATTCAGAGCTTCCCTAAACTGGTTGCGGTGCAGCGCAAGAATGGCGCCGAAGAAGGATCTGTCTGTCGAGTAGCGCTTCATGGACTGTAAGTAGCTGTCCATTGAATCCCACTTTCCGAGACCCCATGCCGCAGCGGTAGCCAGAGGAGCGATCAGGCGCTGAACGTCGGGAGAAGAATTGGCCCAGGTGTTGCTGGCAAGGCCTGCCAGAGCCTCCCACTCGCCAAGGGCGTGTAGACAACGCATCTTGCCCATGATGATATCGACGGGCACAGGCTTGTCTTCGGGAACCTCCATCTCTCGTTTCGTGTAGAACGCGAGCGCCTCTTCCCATCTCTCCAGCTTCTCGAACCATGTCTCTCTAAGTTGGATACCCTCCTTGTAAAGCTGGGCTTTGCGGAGAATACCAATGGCTGCATCAGATTGCTGAAGTTGGTTGTTGATCACAATAAGAGCCTCAACCGCACCACTGCTCTGGTCCTGCAAGAACTCCAACTCTTTGTAGTGGAGGGCCTTGGCATATGCGTGGCAACGAGCGGCTTCCCGACCGAGCACTCTAATGTCGATGGGCAGAGCCTTGTCGTCGTGTTCCATAAACTCGGCGAGGTTGAGCAGCAGACCGAGCAGATCGGGAGGCACATTCTCGGACTTGATGGCACTCTCAATGTTCTGAATCAGTTCGTCCTGGAATTGCTCGTAGAGCTCACTCCAGCAAGAGACAAAGGCGGAGTTGAACAGTTCTCGCGCGAGCGGGAGATATGAGCTGGCAAGGGCGGCGCAGGCGCGGAGAGCGTGATTGGGCGACTCGGTGAGCAAGGTCGTGGAGAATCTACGAAGCCATTCCTGCCAATCCTCCTTGGTTGACTTGCCCTTCGTATCCCACGCCTGCTTGAGATGGATCGCATTCATCTCCAACTTCTTTGCGCCAAGGTCAGCAAATGCCGCCTGGTCGTCGATTCGGTCGACGAAACGGTCGCCTGCGCCAAGGTCCTGAGGAAGCACCTCGCCCTTTTGCAGCTTGTTCACGAGCAACTCGTAGTTCTGGTGCTGGATCTGATGTAGCGCCAACACCTTGTTGACGGTTCCCATAAAGTGGAGGTAGTCCTTGCCGAGCTGCTGAATAAGACAGCACAGGGTGTCCAAAGCAGCGACGCGAAGGGTCATGTCTCCGCTAGCCAGAATGCGTGTAAGAGGATGAATGATCTTGGCCGCATAGTCGTTGAGGTTGACCTGATATGTGATCTTGCCAATGGTCTCAATGGCCTGCTTCCGGAGCGCGGGTGGCTGGCCTTGCTTCTCAAAAGTCCTGACAATAACAGGAATGATCAAATGCATGTACTCCTCGGCACTGGATCCAAAGACCAAGAATGCATGCAGGACCTTCTCGGAGGGAAGGCGTCTTGTCGTTGCATCCTTCTCAAGAACCCCCAGCATGAGCGGCAACAGACCAGCTAGGTAGATCTTGAACTCGCCTTCTAGAGAGCGCGAGATGGCTTCGACCAGGCTCATGATCGTTGACTGCAGAGTGCTAGTCGTATGCCAGAACTCTTGGCAAATTTCGACAATCTCGGGCAGGAAGTTGCGGATGTGCTGTCGAACGATGGAGACCAACGTGGCGAGCTGACTGAAGTAGGAATCAAGTCGGTTCTTGTCAGCAGCCCGAATCACACCGAGGAAGGCGGGGATGATTCGGTCGAGGAAAGATACACACTCCAAGCCTAGAGTGCGGAAAATGTTCATGATCGCCTCGATGACGGACGCATGATGGCTGGACAAAGAGTTGTCCTTGAGAATCTGGAGCAGCGCGTTGATGACCACAGTTGGGAAGTACTCCTTGCTGGATGGCGTGAGACCTGTCATCATAAGAGAGATATCCGTCATCTGTGTGCTCTCGACCCGGCGCTGTGCATCGGGCCGCCGCTGTTCGACCTGCTGGTATTTGTAGGGGTCCAAGGCACCCAGGATACCCATTAGTTTAATGGTCTCCTGCCGAAGAGGACCGCGCTGGCCCTCGGTGCGTATTATGCTTTGCAGCAGTTCCAGAAGCTGGGGATACTCGAGATAGGGTTCAATGACGTATCCGGAGTTGCTGGCCAGCTGACCAAGGGCGTGAAGTGCGGCCTCTCGTTTGTTATTCGAGCTCTGGTCTTGCAGCGCCGCAATGATGAGGGGCATCAAGCGGTCCTTGTATGGAAGAACCTCCTCGCCACCGACAGTGGCAAGCTCGCCGATAGCTCTCAGAATGGTTGCCGCGACAGAAGCGCTCGCGTCGTTGGCTTTCGGCAGAAGAACGGACATCATTGGGTCGACGTAAGGCTTGACCAGTCCCTGGGCATTCTGTACCAACAGGCTGAGTAGCTTTGCGCTTTCCTCCTTGTTCCTTGCAACGTCGGAAAACTCAAGCTCAGTGAGGAGCTGGATAAGGGTCTTGCGGAGGGAGGGGATGACGTATGCTGGGTTGTATCTAGCAAGGCGACCAATGATAGAAATCGCAACCTCGCGGATAGCAAAGACCTCATCGTTGAGAGCAAAGAACAACGTGCGGATGTTCTCTGCCTTGGCCAGGTGTCTGTCGAAACGCTCGTCAAGGGCGGCAAGAACGGTCCGTCTGATATTCGGCTCGGGATCCGATACGCCCACGGTAAGCAGTCGCTCAATGACATCGCCAACAACCTGGAGAGCGTGGTAACTGGTCTGGTTGACGATGGGGTCGCGCACGTAAAGCTGGCAGCAGGTGAGAGCTGCGGCCTCTCTCGTCTCCGGATCCTCATCTTCGACGTACTTGACAGCGACGTCACGCACAAACTCATTCAGCACATGGCCGGTAAAGTCGAAGCTGCCGAGAGTGTTGAGGGCAAGTTTGACCTCCGCCTTGCGATGCTCGTAGGCCAAAGGATCCTTGGAGTCCTTAGGAACAGCGGGCACGGCTGTGAGGGTGTTGGGATGAGGAGCGCCTAGGGGCTTGAAGGGCTCTCCGCACAAGACCATGCTGAGCATGTCCAGCAATCGGTTTTGAATGGTGTCCTTGGCGGGAGGGATGTAGAAGGCCATGTCGACGAGAGCCTGGGTCAGCTTTGGCGTCAGGTCGCACTCGAAAATGGGATCGAGCAGAGCTTCCATGTACTTGCTCAGCGTTTGGCCAACGGCAACGGCTAGTCGACTGATGCACTCGAAAACCGCGTCGACGGGACCGCGCTTGCGAGCTGCCAGACTGAGACCTTCTCTGACGTGGGTCATAACTCCGTCAAGGTAAGGCGCAATGGCGCTCTTCACTGAGTTCGCGATGTTACCGATAGCCAGGAAGGCGTCATTGCGCTCCTTGTCCTTCTTCAGCATGCCGGACAGGTAAACCATGAACTTGTGGAGGTAGCTGCGGTCGAACTCTGCGGGAGAGTAGCTGGCCAGGTCGGGGATGAGGAGGACGACGGTCTTGCGGATGGTGACGTCGCGATGGTCCTTGTAACGGAGAACGATTTCGCAGGCTTCGGGGTAGTGGTCCTGCATGAACATGCCGCCCTGCTCAAGCAGCTCCTTGAGCATGAGGAGCGAGGCGTGGATGTACTCGACGGAGCCGTGCTGCAGCCCGCGCATAAGTTCGGCGTAAGCCTTCTCCATCCATGTCTGTTTCAGCTCCTGGTCGCGCTCCCTAATGATGCGGAAGCAGGCGGCGACGGTCTCAGCGGACGTGGCGCGAATAAGATGGCGGTTGTCTCTCAAGCTGTTCCAGATGAGGTCCAAGACCAGACCGACGTAGTTGTACATGAGTGTGGGCGCCTGTCTCGCCAATTCGCGCAACACGAGGGCGGCGCTGTAGCGACGCTCCTCGACTCGTTCGCTCTGGAGCCACTCGAGGGCCATCTGGGTTTCGGACTCGACCAGTTCGCTTATCATAGAACCGCCTGGTCGGCACATCTTGCCCAGGGCGATGGCGGCGGCTTGCATGGGGTTGATGTCCTTGCCGCGCAGGATAGTTTTGAGGTTTTGGTTGAAGCGGGCGAACATCTTGGTCGACTGCTCGGAGACTTCGACGTCGACAAGGGCATCGAGGGCGTAGACGCCGCCCAGGCGCTCGGAGGAATCATTGCCGTGGGAGATGAGTTGTGTAATTTTGTTGTTCACGGAACCGTAAATCATGTTGAACTGTTCGATGGGGAGGTCTGGAGGAGGCGGAGGGTCAGCCAAGCTGTACATGATGGCGAATTTGGCGCTTCCGCAGAGCGATGGAGAGGGAGTTGTGGTGTTGAGGGGAAACTTGGGACAGCTTACCTCGATGGCAGACCAGCACCAGGTCTCTGAGCTGGAGAGCCGCCCGCTTTCGAACATCGTCAGAGGTCCTTGGGAGATGTCAGTTGCTGCGGGTGGCATAGTCAAGCTCCTTGTCGCATGCACATAGCGGGGGAAGCAACAGAGGCAGGAGCGGAAGGGGGAGGGTGGACAAACCGTGATCTGAGGTCTCTGACAATATTGTCGAGTCGCTCGAGAGCGATCTGCTGTTGGGTCGCCATGGCTCACTGGCTGGCGCACCCGAGCGTTCGAGGATCAGAATGGGAGAAACATCGACTACAGGTCGGAGATATGGATTGCTGGTCGTTCGAAGAGGAGGGGGGTCGCAAGTGAGGAACTAGATAGTGGTGGTGGTGGTGGTGATCGTGGGAGGAGTGGGCGCGCTGTTGGACGCGAAAGAAAGGGCTGCAGCTGGTGCAGCAGTCAGCAGTTCGTTCACTGCTTGCTGTGGGGTGTAGAAAGAATAAAAACAACAAGGTGTGAATGGCTGCACAGAAAGAAAGGCCAAGTGACGAAGGTGCCCTGCTGAATGGGGGACGAGGCTGAAGGTTGCGGTTGTTTGAGCCAGGACCAGACCAAGACGGGAACCTGAGCCAGTGGAGGTGCAGTCCAGTCAGGTCAGTCTGCAGTGACGGAAAGTGCGACACTGGAACGCTGGAGTGGAGGGTCAACCGTGCTTGCCTCCCCCCCAAAAAGGTGGTGCACCTGGAGGACCCACTGTGCCGTTGCTGCCAATTCCTAAAACCCACCCTGCCGAGGCGCATTGCTGACCTGAGCTACCCCAGCTTCAATTGGATCCTAAGGTCGAGGTGCCCGAGCCGTCTTACATAATACTCTGTCGACCGATAAGATAAGCATTCAGCAAGCAGTCGCGACTCGACGTCGCAACTTTCTGATCGTGTCACGGAGACAGATCCAATACTCTCCACTCATTTTAGGAATTTCAGTCATCCCGCGCAGGCTATGAACCTTGTGATCTGACCAATTCGTACGCATCAACAGCGGCAGTACCATCAGTGGAGACTACGAACAAGCCCAACGCAAGCGATCATGGGTAACGATGGAGGATCAATTCCTAAGCGCCGCGAGCTCGTCAAGGAGGCTGCGCGGGCCCTCACCGTCAGCGAACTAAAGGCCAACGCCCTCGAGTCCCTCGGCCACGCCTGGGCCAACGACCCTCTCTCCAACGAGCCCCTCGATAAAGAGAATGTCGTATCCGATTGGCGCGGCCGCCTCTACAACTACGAGACCATCCTGCAGGGCCTCATGCCCTCTGATGACGCTGCCGCCACACCCAATCCCGACTCTCCAGAGCTCACGTTTGCCTCCACCGGCATCAAGTCGCTGCGTGACATTGTCAAGCTCAGATTCCACCAATATTCCCCGCCGGGCTCGAAGAAGGCCATCTGGGCGTGTCCCATCTCGTCGAAGGAGCTGGGTCCCTCTGTCAAGGCCGTTTATCTCGTGCCGTGCGGCCATGTTTTCGCCGAGGTTGCTATCAAGGAGATTGGAGAGTCGACATCAACATGCCCCGAGTGCAGCGAACCCTTCGAGGCCAAGAACGTCGTCCCTATACTACCCACGGAGGAGACGGACCTGAAGAGGCTTACGGAGAGGATGGACGACCTCATCGCTGCCGGGTTGACCCACGGCTTGAAAAAGGAAAAGAAGGATAAGAAGGAAAAGAGCAAGAAGAAGCGCAAGGCCGAGGATGCCGACGCCAAGGATGATGGTGAGGTACCCGAGAAGCGGAGAGCGACAGCTACCACAGACAGCGTCAAGTCGAAAACGAGAAACATCAACAACCCCATGGCTGCCTCGTTGACAGCCAAAGTCATGGCTGAACAGGAGGAGCTGAGCAAGCGAAGAAAATTGGCGGCAAAGGCCTAGGTGGACAAAAGATGACACTGTTGATCTAAACTCGTAAAATACTCTCAAATGATACCCCCGATACCGTGCGACATCCTTCAATGGAGTGAACGGGACCCTATCCCTTCCCTGGTCCTCGTGCCTACCTCTACATGCCAATCTTTTTCGGGACTTTGCTCGTCACCTCATATCTCTCACATACATCGTCCTAGTCAGTCATTTCGTGCAGACGCATATCAACATGTGGCAAGGGCTCTACAATCAGATGACTGATCAACGTTTTGATGATTCCTAATGCAGACCTCTACGTCTAAGTCACCCTGACGCCAAGCTAAGCAATCCAGATGCTGTTCTTTGTACATGCAATCCCCCATTTTCACCCCTCTTACAGTTCGTCCTTGGACTTGGGCTCAGGGGGCTCAAGCAGGTCGTCGCAGGCAGCAGGCGTGCCCACCTCCATCTTGTAGACGCACTTCTCCGACTCGGACACCTTCCACAGCTCCTCTGTCTCGCTGCAAGCCAGCCAGACGTCGGTGCGTCTCTGGGGTCCGTTCCAGCAGCCCTGACCGTTCTCGAAGCGCATGACCATGCGGAGACCCTTGCCCAGGCTCTTGCCATCGGTGCGCTCCTCGTCGTCGGCCATCTCCCGGTCGATGCGGACAAAGTTGCCCATGTTGGTGTTGCCGTGGCCCTTCTTGGACTTTTGGTTGGTCTTGTCCATCCAGCAAAGCTCGTACTCGTACTCGCCAGCCTCGGTGCTGACGCACTTTTGGCTCAGAACACGGAAGATGTCGTCGGTGCCGTAGTCCTTCTCGAGATCCTTCTCCTCGTTCTCGAGCTGGCGGCGCTTCTCGTTGAGGTCGTTGTTGGCGGCGTTGAAAGCATCGCGGGCGACGGTGACGAGGCGAGACTCGGAGCCGGCGGGGGTGTTATCAACCATCAAGCCGTTGTCAATGAGCCAGCCACGAATGGCGGTGACCTTGTCGCGGACAAACTCGCGGGCGGGAGCAGGCAGGTAGGCCTCAAAGTTGTAGACTGGTTTGGTTAGCTGCGTTCCATAATTGTTCGCTCAAGGGTACGTACGGATGTCAGTGTCGGAGCCTTCAGCCTCCTCGAACTCCTTCCAGTTGATGCCAGAGCTCTCATTGTCCTCGACCAGGACCTCCCTGATGTCAGCCTCGAGATCGTCCGACTTGGTCTCGGTGACGGAGTTGGCAGAGTAGTCCTCGAATCCCTTGACGGCGCGCTTAACGCCCTCGTCGTTGAAGTTGGGATTGTACTCTTCCTTGAATCTCCTCAGGATGCCCTCAAGCTCGCCGACCTTGTTGCGGAGGTCGTCACGCTGGGCAACGACGTCTTCGAGGGTCTCGCGGAGCTCAGCGACGCGGCTCTTGGCCAGGTTAACGAGAGTGCCAAGCTTTCCACCAGAGCCCTCGCCCTTGACGACCTTGCCCCGCTCGGAACGCTCCGTCTCGTGGAGCTTCTGCTCAAGCTCCTCCTTCTTGGTCTCTAGGTTCTTGACCTCCTCCTTCAAGCTGTTGACCTTGACCTCGACACGGCGGCGAAGCTCCCTGGACTCCTTGGCCATCGTCTTGCGTCTCTTACCAGCCTTGTCGATGGCCGCCTTCCTCTCAGCCTCGACGCGGCGGAACTCCTTGCCGATCTCGTTGCACTTGTTCGGGCACTTGACGCCTCCGACCTTGCCATACTCCTCAGTGCCATCGCAGCAAATGTCGTAGTCGCAATGGCCGTCATTGACGTACATGAAGGGGACGTAAGCTCCGATGTGGCCCTCATTGGCGCACCAGAATCCCGGGAGGGCAGTGGCCGTGCTGGTTGTGCCTGTCTTGGAGCCGACGAAGGGCTGGGGAGGAGAGAGGGGGTCGAGGTGGGCGCAGGCGGAGGTGCCAGGCTCATCGGAGCCATCTGGACAGTCGCAGGTGTTGTCGTTGATTTGCTTCACGCTCAGCTTGATTTCGGGGTGGGTGATGCAGGTGAAGGAGTCCTTGGACTCGAAGTACTTGGCAACTGGTGGGAAGCATGTTAGTGGGTTCGACAACGGACGATATGACCCCAGAGAGACAAAGAGGCGGCATTGGCGTGGGATCAATGAGCCATGGAAATTTGCCAGTCTTTGTAGAGCTCTGAGAGGTCCAACCGGGGCGGCCTTGGTGACTGAACTCACATTCTGGACCGACACCTCTGGGCAGGTTGTTGGCAGAAACCGGGGCGGCTGCCGACAGGAAGGTGCCAACAAGCACCACGCTGTAGCTTTGACGCATCTTTGGATTCTCAGGGCCTAAAAACCGTCATTCATGCGTAAATTCGGTCTTGTTGTTTCGAGAAACGAAGGAAGGAAATGGTGGTGAAGCTGGCCAGATCCAGTCCAGATGCAAGACTGGAGACGGGAAGAAGGTGTCGGTAAGGTACAGATATGGGATACGCTGTTGCTGTTGTCGTGGAACTTCCAGCTCACCCAAAACGCCGTAGTGGGTTCGAGTCCCCAGCGGCTTACAGGGGGGTCGGAGTTGGCGCCCAGGCGGTGGAAGCTGCTGCAGGGACAGTCACGTGAACAGTGGGTCAGGCCTGGCGCAGATGGGACGTCATTGGACAGCTGTCGCGCAGCAGCAGGTGCAGCTCAGGGAAGGAGCACCGGGCACTGGCAGGCGGGAGGAAGGGACGGTGAGGGAACTTGAGAGGGAAGAGGCAGGCGGTACGTACCTCAAGATACCCCTCCAAATCGCGGGGCAAAATGTTTTTTGCTGTCGACCATCTCGAGTCTCGTCATTGAAGGGTTCCTGTTCCCAGAGCCGTGTCTCTGCCAGCTCGACATCTCCTCCAGACCAAGCGTTTTTCTCGCAAAGGCCGAAACGATGTCTTCATCAACCGCCAACACCCCCGCAGCGCTGAATGCGCTCTCCGACACGGCCATCGCTTTGATGAAGCAGTTGGAGGCCGTTTGCCTCTCCATCAACGCCGGCAAAGATGACTCCCAGGCTGCATCTTCTTCGAGTTCCTCCGTCGACCCTCTCGCCCTCGCAAACGACTCCGCATCTTTGATCAAGGCGCACTCGACCAAGATCTCCGTCCTCATCATCAACGAGCCCTTCACGCCTTCCGCCATCAGCAAAGTCTTGCGCGAGCTTGTCGCCGGCCCTATCCCTGGTATCGCGACCGCCGCCCAGTCATGCGACGCCGATCGCTACACTGCCACCGTTCGCAAGGACTTGTCATGGAAGTGCTACACTGTACTCAAGGAGCTGCGCGGGCTGGTCGAGAAGATCCCCAGGGATGGCAAGATTCTGTCTGATGCCCAAAAGAGTGGCTCTGCCACTTCAACCGGCAAGGGAAGCATGGCGGCCACAGGTGTCATCTGGGCGGCATGCGACGCGGTCATGAACTTTTACAAGGGCGGCATCGGCGGCTGCTTCATCCAGAAGGTTGAAGAGTTCAGGGCAACACTCAAGGATGTTATGGAGGAGCTCAAGGAGTGGGGCGAGGAGGAACCCGAGGATGACGACGACAGCGACGCCGACGAATTCGACCACGATTCCGCGCTGGGCTCCATGATGCCGTCCACGCAGGAACTCATCGACGATATGATGAGCGGATCACAGGCGATCCCTCGAGACGACCCCGACAAGATCCGCGACCGTCTCGAGTCCTGCTTGAAACGACTAAGGCTCACCACGCTCCTCTACCAAGCCATCGTCAAGAGACGCTTCAAGACGTTGCCGTCGCTGCCTGTCGAAAACTCGGACATTCCGATGCGTCTGGATGAGTCCATGCGTATTCTCCGAAAGCTGCCTCACATGTTTGATGAGCTGGCGGGCGCTTTCTACGACCTCTCACCTGACGAGATCGATCGCGTTATGAACCTGTGCTTTGACGAGATTGTTGCCCTCTCGGACCAGCTGAAGGCGCCATGGAGCGGAGACAAGGACGAGTTTTCCGAGTGGGCTGTCAAGTTCCAGGGCGAGATCAAGAAGGGCTGAGTGTTTTTCATCAGCTTGCCCGCAAGCGCGGGCTCAGCTACAGATTCGCACGGGAATTAAGGCAGCGGGCTCACCCACCCGCCACCACCACGCGGTTGTGACTTGCATGCCACACCGCAGACGCCAGTCGTCAAACAAGCTCAGGACTATTTTTCTAGACCATGACTGCAGTCGAGGCCATCATTGGTCATTTGACGCCACTCGTATTGGTGGTCGCGAGGCTGCGCCATCTGAGACATGGTGTGGAGGGGACATCACCTGGGGATGTGGGGGAATCGCGGTCACGGGCAGGCAAAATGTCATCTGCTGCACCGCACACCTGTCGTGCCTTGCCGCTGCCTGGCGAGAGATGGAGAATGTATATATAGATATCCCAGTCAATATGATTGTGGTGAATAGAGGATGTCAACCAAACGCAAGTATGCCAGAAGAACAAATCGCCCACGTCGATGACCAGATCGATGAGCAGGTCATGAAAGGGGAGACGGGCGAGCTTCCCCGAGGGGTGCCCAGTGGAGGAAAGAAGTTGAAGGCCGCAGTATGGACTTTTCCCGCCGTCTCGGGCGTTGCATGCACTGACATGATGTCCAGATTATCGTCGTGACCGTCACTGGGAAGATTGCCCAGATCGCGACCAACATTCTCACCCTGCCATATTACCGCTTCTACCAGCAAAACACTCTGCTGCCCATTCTTTCCATCGCCAAAACCGTCGAGAATGAGGAGACTGATCAGGAGATATCCGCGGAGCTCCAAAGATGGCGGGACCGAAAGCTGAGCGAGTTCCAGCTCGTGCAAGTCGCCGTATGTCCACATCTCACCATCGGTCTCATCACATACTAACAACCTTTAGAGTACCTTGGTGTCGGCGGCCGTGATCGGGACCTTTTCCTGGCCAACTCCCGACGCCCTGCACTGGCTCACCCCGGCCTTCTGGTACGCCAGCATCTCACTCTCGCTCTTCGCCATCCTGCTCGCATCCTCGGAGCAGTTCATCTTCCAGACGATCCACCGCTCCCCGAAGCGGCGCAATATCGACAAGGAGCTCGCGATGATTTTGTACATCCGCCGCAGCAGGTCCGTCGACCCGGTGCACTCGCCTTTGGAGGAAGTCCCGCCGATTCCCCAGATCCGTGCGATCAAGCTGGCTGAAGAGGGGGGCTGGTTTCCAAAGGAGATGCCGCTGGTCGAGATCCGCTGGAACATGATTTTCACCTGGCAGGCGCCCATGATGCTCATGGCGTATTCGGCGCTGTGCTTCCTGGCCGGGCTGACGGTGTATGTCTGCGCGCCGCTGTATGATGGCCAGGGATGGGGCGACGGAGGCAAAGTGAGTGATTTCCTTTTCACGCTTCATGAAAGCTGCTAATAATACATAGGCCGCCGTTCTTTACCTCGTCAGCTTCTTCTTCTGCGGACTCACCTTCATTTGGTGTGCATACTGGGCATACAAGTTTGTCGACTTGGAGGACCCTTAGGCACGTCACTTTCCCTAGATAAGATGCGATCGGATGGCGGCACCATGGATGCCCATGCAAGTCATGCACTAACTCACCGGATGACTCACGCCCGCAGCATTTGAGGTTGGCGACGAGATCTAGATTGAAGCCCATAGACATACATATAGATAGACTTGTCGAGTCGCGCAATAAGATTTCTCTTCCTACACAAATCCCCAAGACCATATTAGCTACTGCCCCAAATCCTGTCGTAAAAACGATGTCCTGCCCCGTGGAAGAGATCGTCAAAACCTATGAAGATGATCCAACAATAGTACAACGCATCGCAACGCGCAAGACTAAACTTCCGCTCGCGATCGAGCCCCCAAACCCGGCTTGGCCCGAACACTTTGAGTTCCTCAAGGCCCGCATAATCGGCGCCATCGGCCCCACGGCCGTGAGCATCTCCCACGTCGGCTCAACCTCCGTCCCGAACCTCCCCGCCAAGGCCGTCATCGATGTTGACCTGGCGATTGCGAATCCGACGGCCGAAGATGAGTACGCTCCTGCACTGGAGGCGGCCGGTTTTCAGTTCCTCTTACGCGAACCCGAATGGCATGAACATCGATTCTTCGCGATGAGTGAGCCGTATTTCTGCAACCTGCATGTCTTCAAAGTCGGAACGGCGGAGATGGAGAGGCACTTGATTATGAAAGAATGGCTCACGACGCACGAAGATGACAAGGAATTGTATGCGCAAGCCAAGGTTGATGCTGCGGGGGTGAGTAACGGGCTGGGTGAGACGGTGATGGAGTACAATTTCCGCAAGGAGAATGTCATTCGGGAGATTCTCGAAAGGGCATTCCGGGCAAAGGGGTACCTTCCCGATATCGAAAAGTGACTTAGAAGTTTTTGAGTTAGCTATTTCGCTTCTTCTCTCAAGCATGATATCCGGGTCGAAATTGCATACCCTCCGAAGTGTACCGGTCAAGCAAGATGCGCAGCACACAACTAGGCATTCATGTCAATGAAATTTGGGGCTTTTATCAAGCCGCTGAAGAAGTCACGCGTTCCAAGCACTGAAAACGATTGAGAAAAGGTGCACCGAACATCGAAAGCGACATCAAGCCACCTCGGCCGAAAATGACCACGCGCACAACGAAGACTCAATTCTTTCTGGGTTTTTCGAGCCCGTCAGCGGCAGAGGGTTCCAAATTTACCGTAGGGGCCCCACTACAGTTGTGGTGGCCCCGCAAACCCCGCACGAATAAATCTTAAGATGAAATGTTGTCGAAAATTCTCAACAAGGACCCATGGCGCAACGGTAGCGCGTTCGACTCCAGCGAGACATCGAAAGGTTATCCGTTCAAATCGGGTTGGGTTCAATACCCTATGTCCATATTTTTGCCGCATCTGTTGATATCGTGATGCTGTTGTGGTGTTTTGATGATGCATCGTGTCCGGACATGATGCTCATGCTGGGACGCCGTTTTTCTGTCGCCGACGTGTCCGGAGCGCACGGTTCGTGTCAAAGTAGGGTCCGTGCCTTCCAAAGTCCAGCTGGGGGCACTTGCGACCATCTGCGAGCTGGAATTATTCAAGGAATATCCGCCGCCCATCATCAGCAGCCGAATTCCTGTACACAACTGGAGAGCGATCCGACGCTACCAATGAACTCTACAACCATGTCTTTGAGCATTCGATCAGTATTCTGTCTGTTCCTTTAACTCAAGCTACGATAAAGACCTCGGTTGTGATGAGGTGTGGTCCACGACGTGACCGACCGACATCGTCACTTATGTACGCGTGCGGGCGAGGAAATGCTCTCGCAGCTGGAACCACAATGCC